ATTGACCGCAAACTAACGTACCTGCGATGGTCGTGTATCTTGTGCAGTGGGCGTGGTTTAAACTGAAGTAGCGTCACACTTGCAACCGGATACTGCATGTACTGTGTGGACTCTGCGGGCGCGCGCGGGGAAGTTCAACACAGAGAGCCTCGATTTCGATGTAGATATGCGCACACGGCGCTAATGTGAAATGCCGCTATTAAGAAAACGGACAGTGAACGGACGCTGAGTGGCATCAGTTCAAGGTCTGTTTTGTTTGCAATTTATCCCAGATGTCGTGCGAACCCAACAGTTATTGGATCGGCAACTTAAAGGCGCGGGCCGATCCGAGTGGATGCCGACATGTGCTGATGGGCGTTGTACCGAGAATCGGCGTTCAGCTGTGTCGATGTCTCGCCAAGATAATTAATTCATGTAAAATAAATCTTGCCCTACTTTTCCTTCTAGTGTCAACTGCTTCACTGTTTAAAAAGAAGAAGGAAAATTTTATTTAATAATGATGGAAATTGATCAGAAAGGAATAATCACCCCCCCCCCGCCGGAGTGCTACATTTTGCATTGGTTGCCAACAATCCTTTTTTATAGCTCCATGATCAAACTGATTCTTTCATCTCCGCGTCTGTCTTCAGGCCCAGTGGCGTAAATTTGTGCAGGAAATTAGTGGGGTGGGGAAAGGTGGGGGTGTGTGATGACTTGCCCGGCTATGAAAATTTGAAAAGCGGGCGGACACCATATGACTCTATAAGAGGTCGGTGTTCATGATATTGACGTAGACCTGTAATATGTATTACATTCATACAGAATCTTACATCAGAATGGCATATTTATGGGTTTTCGTTTTCCCTTTTTTGAGCTGTATTGAATGCATTTTAGTCGTTGGGAAGTCATAAAAATTCTTTACAGTCCGCTTCATATTTTGCTCGCCCAAAAAATTGGTAGGATTGTTCAATAGCTCATCTCCCCCACTTCAAAAAGTGTGAGGGGCATATAACCCCCCCGGATTTAAGCCCATGTTCAGGCCTCTCATTTTCAAGCACTAAATCAATCAATATGCACTTGTTCTGCTATTACAATTATTCCCACACTATTTTTTGCTTATCGAAGTGTCACATGTGTGACAGAGAACAATGACGCAAAGGTGAGGCAACCTCTCCGACACTCATGCCACTGATATTGTTCAAAGGACATTGGCCAGTGTCGCGTTTAACACCAGCGTGTCCCGAAAACAAGTGCAAACCGAAGTATGAGGCCGTCAACAATAGTCGATGAAATTCATGTGTACAATATCCTGCGGGTATCGAGTGAGAAATATAAATACGTGGCGTCATCTGTACGGCCTTGGGTGGGAAGACTGTTATCTGCGTGGGCACGTGGGTTCCGCTCTTCAAATGAACTCGACTGTAGCAGTTGTTATCACTGGCCTTGTTCGATTGCCAAAACTTGTAACAATTTCACTGCTGGTTGATTTCCGGTTTGGTATTGCCCCGGCTGTGCGATTTGGCAGATAGTATTTCGTTTATTCAAGTGCGGCTCGAGAGCCTTGGGGGGTTTGTTTCGGGGGAGGGGGGTAAAAAGTTAATAAATTAAAATGATAATATTTTTTTACGTAACCTGTTACGACACCTTTGGCAGGAACGGGACGTGAAACAAACTAAAATATCGCCTCTCTTTTTTTAGGGGGAACAGGGCTTCCGCCCTCCCCCCATCCCGTGTGCTTGTCGTGTTCCCATTGTAAAGTTAAGATCCACCAGCACTGAACTATGTGAAGCCGTCAGGATCAGTTTTTTACATATAGTTCAAAGATAGAGCACACTTTCTCAAAATGAAATTTTGAAGTATTTTCGTAGTAGAACCAGTCCTCAAGAAAAAGAAACTGTGGTATGTAAAAGTTCAGCAGAGCCAGTCGTTATAAAAACAAACGCGCAGGCCCACGAACACCAAACAAAATATACAAAGTGCAATAACAATGAACGTCCATTGTTGCACTCAAGTGGATCAAGTTAAACATCTGCAAAGTATTGTGCCCCGTAGGCCCGGGACATTTTTCAGTTTTTTTAAGCAGTAATGCCTCATGGCCTCATGGTGTATGAAACCAAACCCAAACAGGGTAACAGCAGGTTAGTGTCATGTTTACATTGTTTCCCTGATTGTTTTACCTTTTTTTCCATGACTTGGGTATTTGGCAGCCTATTCTACAGTGTGAATCACTAGGCAGACTACAGACGGAATAAAATCAAAGAGTGCTTTCTATTTTGAAATAATATTAGGAGTCAAAACTGACAGATACATTTGCCCCGTCCAATCATGACTATAAAATGGAATAACATTTTTTTCTGGAAACAAGAAATGCTCCACTTGTTCAAACTTCAGCCTACATGCTCGTTCATCATCACATATGTAAAACGTTTTTGGTGGAGAAAAACTGGTACAGTAGAAGTTTATAACTATTTGGGAAAAGCTGCCCCTCTTTTTTTTATCTCATGTTATTCGTTTCCCTCAATGTGCCAAAACAGATTACTACATTCACAGGTTTGCAGTTACTGGTTCAAAGATTTTGAATTCTCTTCTTGCCCTATTGAGAGTGATACATGTACATTCTTACAAGATACAAGATCTTTTAATATATTTTTATGAACGTGCTTAATCTTTCTGTAATATGTTAAGATGTTAGCACCTGACTTTTATTGTCTGTAAGTTCTTACACTGTATTGTTTCTATTTTTGTCGTTTGCTATAGTCCTTATTATATGTTCTTACGTTTCGATCTTGTCCATTTTAAGTTTCTAAATTGTGTTTCTCTAAGTTACCTCTGCACTGTGGTTTATCTATTGATCGTTAATTTATTTTGAAATAGCATGACTTTGCTCCTGTTTTTAACCCAGCTCCTAATTGGTTTTTAATTTATTTTTTGTTTTAAGCTCTATTTTAAGCTGTATTCTATTTTAATTGTTGAATAAGCTTTTGTATGTTTAAAATGCAGGGCCCCAATGAAAACCAGCGCAGGATGTTTGGGCTACCCTGGATAAACAAAGGAATAAATAAATGTGTTCATTGTAACGAAAAAAAGACTAAAGTTTGATTCAATCTAGATAATTATTGCTGGGAATATTATTTGAGTTGAAGTAAGATTGGGCATCATGCGTTCAGCTGCTTCCTTTCATTTGAATGTTGGCTCGTTCCATCCCAAACAAAAACATGGCATTTTGCGCACTGTTAATGGTTCGCTGATTAACCGCAACCGTGAGCAGAGCCGTCCAGACGTTCACATATTTATTACATCTAGATGTAAACACCAGCCCCTATAGTTTACGCATTTGTATATATAATAATAAATAATAATAAAAAAAATATATAGCTAGATAGTATGCAAAAATTAATGATTCATACGTAAGATGTTCCAATTCTCTCTCAGCGAAGGTTGCTTTTAATTGTACTGATCACATATGTTTAATAAATGTAGAAAAGATGGCCTTCGTAAAAGCAATAAAAGTTGTGTTGCTTGACTGACGCAGCTGATATGGCGCAGTCATTTAAAACCAACAGCCCAGGCACTGAGACTATGTGTGTTCTACACACAATACTGCTTACGTTTGTTGCTTTATTGGAGGCTATTTCATTTACGCTATTTCCGGGTTTCATTGGCCGTGAAGCATTTTGTATAATGCCTGGAGATTTTAGTCATGAATGGGGGATTTTTCTCTCACCTGTGCCAAAACCGGCGGGCGAAGTATGATTAATACACCAAGATTCGATCAGTGCCAAAGACGCTGCACTTTCTGCATAATCCGAAATAAAACATTAGTAGAAAGTTGTACTTTGCAGGGTTCAGTCAACCGAGGTTGGTTGTTGGCAAAGTAGAGGTAATAATGCTCAGCAAAGTGTGACAGTTAATTTTTGACCTGCGGCGCATCGTATCAGTGTCGATTTCCTCAGCATGAAACTAACGCCAATGCCATGCACGCCCCATCACTTCAACAGCCTGAAGTATAAGCCATCTTAATCTGCGGCGACACCACGTTCGTAAGCAGGCGGTACTCTCTAAATTCCAAAGAACGAAAATTCACTCCATTTGACTGAAAATTCAACCCCTCAGATTGAAATTAAGGACCAGACGAATTGGAGTGAAATTTTTTCACTCTAAAAGACAGAAATTTTACTCGAGCTTCCACTGGAAGGGGCTATTTTCAGCCTTTTTCAGTCTAAATTCAGAGTGATTTTCACTCTTAAACGTCTTGTCCCTAATTTCACTCTTTCCGATTTAGAGAGTATATACCCGCGCTTCACGTTCCTCACTGATCCGTGTTGCCACCATAGATATAATATCTATGGTTGCCACTCGTCAAAATGCACATGTCTACGTCTCTGGTAAAAACCGCGCGTGAGTGTAATGCCACTGCAGTCATGCCATTATGTTGCGCAAATTAATTCAAGTACCACGCGCACTGCAGATAAGGGGACTGAGGTCTGGGTTCTGGAGCAGCGGCATTACGTCCGGTAGCTGGGTTCGAACTACGGAAATACACTTCAGGAGAGTTCCCAAGCCACCTCCTACTTGTATAACTAACCGCCTTGTTGGACATTTCAGGAACATTCAAACCAGATCTAGGCTCATTGCTGAAAATCCTTGGCCAGTACACGTTCTCCTGACCAAGTTCAGCAGGAAAGTGTTCATTGTCATCAACAGGAGTTGAACTTCGAGCACTTCCTCATTCTGTTCATACCGAGGTTTCTTTTTACTTTTTAAGTTCACATATTCATTACCAAGATTACCAAGAAAATCCACTTTTGACACATATGCAATGCAAACCAGGAAGCATTACGCCAAAGCTAACCAACAGCTTTAATCGCTTCGACATGGAAAAGTTTGCTCGTTTCCTTGTACGCCTGTAACGATTCTCTTTCCTGGAAAATCAACTTTAATAAATGCAAATACGACTCAGGATTCATGCTATTCCAAAGAGCTCAATTTAAATGGGAGCATGTTGAAATTACTGGCTAATTAAATTGAGTTCTTGATCAACCTCTTCCGAAGGCTTTCGGCGAATTTAATGCACGAAAAGAATAACTACTTGAAAGACAGACGCACTTTGTCTTGATATTCGAATGCGAATAGAGCATTCAACTAACAGCTTATTTCGAGTGGGCCTCGCATTCTGTGAACAATATTTAATAAAAAAGGCTGAGAAAACGTACCGTATTGTTTATCTCTAAGTCACTTACGACTAATACGCATGAAACTGAATAGTGGTTCCGGGGACCTGGAGATTTTTGCCTATTCGTGCTATTTGGCAATTGGTGATTAGGGCCTACCCCAAGAAATAAGAAGTTAGAAATAGACACTTGTTGTTTAGTCCCAGAAGACAACTTTACAATGGGGTGCCAAATTACGATGTACCGTGGCAGATGTGATATGTTTTGCAAATCATTCTCTATAACAAAATTGAAAAAGAGTTTCCTGTTTTCATCGAGGACTTACAAAAATATTTAATGAGCGGCCCAGGCAAATTGAATTGTGTCACCTTTTAGGCTATAAAATTATTTAGATACTGAAACATATATTACTTGAGTAACCTACCATGAAATATTCACAGCATGAAACGAATAAATAAAACTAGAGTATTTCAGCCTATTTCTAAAAAATAATTTCAGCACACTTGAGACTATCATTGCTAACAATAATGCAAAAGCTCTATATCCGTTTGAAAATGCCAAAAGCATTACAATAGAAGGGTTTAAAGGTTTTACGACGAGATTTTTTCAGCAGATTTCAATTGTAAGTTTGGGTTTTGATTAACTCATCAACAATATATGTTCTGAACCTGCTAAAGTTTCACAACAAATATCATTCCAAGCTGTGTGATGACAAAGGTTTGGTGTATATTGTGCTTTTCATTCGATGGGTATATAGAGTCATCTCAGTCACGTGTTCAAGTCAAACTTAAATATATTTCCCCCTAGGTCCAAAGAATGTATACTAATAAGTAGTGCACTATAGGCCTATGGACACGGATGCGTGTGAAAATTTCTTTGAAGTCAAGGGTCAATGGAAATCGTTTGCTGTATGGATTCCCTTCAAATTTGAAATTGACATTTTGGCTGTGTGTTTACCCCATGATGTATTGAAATTTAAGCTTGCTTTTCCCGTGACCCCGGACTGTTAACTTGAAACACGTCTGGTGGAGTTGACTTCCGCTGATTGTCTAATGTTCCCCAATACACTTCGTGCGCAATTTGATCATACTTGAATTAATTACTCCAAATATCCATTGTGTGGGCAAAAGATGCACATGGTAAACTATGCCATGCAAACAAAATCTTGTCATAATTTCGGCGCCCACAGGAGCCTCGCAGATCATCACCTGATTGTAACCACGGCAACGTTGCTTCGATCAAGGCATTTACATCGGGGACTGCGAAGTTTTTTCAGGCTCAATAATGTTGCAAAGTCAATTATGACCATCTTTTAAGTAAATCAGTTTTTGGTTGTTTTTGCCTCTTCAGTGCTAATGTATTTCGGAAAGTAATGCAGTTTGCATAGTAATACTTCCACCGCATTCAAGTGCATTTACAAAATCAGATTAATATTTCCAAGGTCGATGGACGAACATGAGTACACAAAGGTATAATATTGGGCGCGATGTGTCAATCGACACGATCACTCGATTTTACACTATCAGTCGGTATTATTGCACGGTTTGTCGACAGTATCGCCATCAGCCAATACCGGTAGCCCTCCATTCTAATTCGTGACAAAACAAGACTGTGTACAAAAGGGACGTAAATTTGAGATTTCATACCTGATCGACCTATCGCAGAGAGCGGTAGTGCAGATCAGCCGATCGCGCCCAACATTAATAGGCCACAGAAGTATGCACTTTTAAGGGCATTTTACATACATTCTGGGAATAAAGTGCTCCATCCTTCTTTGTCATCTTTTTCATTCTAACCCTTCTTTGATATTCCTCGTGCATCATAAACTATTAAATTGTATTATTCTAAGAACAGAAAAAGTGCTACATCTACAATTAATGATAAATGATGTGTTGTACTATTGTTAAGTCATTTTATCAAATTTCTGGCATCTTCATTGATCAGACTCAAAACCTAGTCTAATGGGTTGTGGCTGAAAGACAAAGTGGCGCCCTGGCATATAAAAACAGAGAGTATTACATACCCACTATAATTCAATTAGAATTAAAATTAAAACGGAAAAATCTATTGAATATTTTATTTGAATTGTACAAATTACACACTATAGCTGTGTAACAAAATAATATAACGATTCAAAACGACTAATGTTATTACTAACGCAACCCTAAAGTGAGCACTGGCGTCAATATATTGCTTTGGCAGCTGCAGAGCTTTAAAAAACATTGTAGAGACATTGGAAGCTTGAGTTGGAAGCACTGTTGCTGATAACAGTCTCCGTTCGAAATCCTTTATAAACCTGGCATACACAATACCGCCAAAATCTTTCCAGATAAAAAAAATCCCAGCCCTTTCAACAATTACCGTGAAAGCAGAAACACCTGCGTCGATTTCGGTCCACTCTGTAAGAAATGCTCCCCACGCAACGTAAAATATCGTTCCAATTTTTTTTTCAAAAGACAAACTAATTACAAGCCTCGCATGCAAGCTCTGATACGCGACTCCCCTCTTCAATTGAATTACCACTTTCATGAGTATGGTTGCAGACGGAACGAGACGAACAAAAAAACGCAGTTGCAGAGTGCATTATACAAAGTGGATGACACTAACTGTCAGCAAGCCTCGTTTCCTTTCCCTTCTTATAAAAAAGAAGGCACTTCAGTCTCAAACCTCAGAGTTACAAAATTTTCACTGCTCCGTCAACGTTGCGGATGAAATCGGATACCTAGGGTTTTCGTAATAAATCTAAATGACGCGTTTATTGTAAGATAGTAACTACAGAGGGCAGTTGCGAATCCAAGGGGTGGGTGTCAACTCTCCCCCACCCCACCTGACAATAAAGACGACATTCTTTAAGGATTATTATTTGTACATCGGTAACAATGCTATGCCATACCTATTATGTATCCGTCTGTCCCCAACAATCGGATATAAACAACATCTGACGGGCCTGACCCCTCCTGGAAAAAAATCTCTGGATCCGCCCCTCAGGGATCATGCAATTATTCAAAAGGAACTATCCGCTGTAAATGGTTCGCATGATCAACTACATTTAATGAAGCCAAGCGTCGTCTTAATTGGCAACTCTTCATTAATTTTTGACGGTCAATCGTCATGGTTTGTCAATCACATTGCTCGACTCGTCACTCGGTCAAGCATGCAGGCAGATCGCTGGTCTGCAAACCCCAGACAGTGGAGAACCGCGGCGATAGAGTCTCTGAAGTCCGAGTAATTGTGTTCCACCACTTCACTTGGCTACCAGCGGCCGTCAATATCGAGCTTTTCCATTCTATGCCGAATCGTTGCGGCACCCACAGGCGCTTGTATGAAGGTGGACAGAACGAAGGTATTCGAACGTGACTTCAGAGGTAGCACTTGATATAAGCTAACACATTTTATGTTTGCTATACATCTTCAAGTTAATAAATGTTGCATAAGATGAGATTTTACGAAGATTTCAGTCTGATTAGGGGAAGGACTAACAAGTGTGCAGTTGAAGCGTTCAACTGCATCCTGCAAAAATGTGCTTGGCCTAATACAGTACATATCCCCTCCTACTGTCCCACTTACTTTTAGTCGAGAGTACTTTATATCAAATCATCTTTCCCTTACGCAAACGCAATCAAAGCTATCAAATCTAGTGCCCAAGAATGTTTTAAACCAGGAGCGCTCTCGCAATGTCACCTGTTTTAAGTTTGAAAATGCTCCCACTGTTTTTCTATCGGACATGTCAAACATATCCCCCACGGAAACTCGGAATAATCCAACGGAGCTTCCCGGTGGGAGGGGGTAATCGAAGGGGTTACTACACCCCACTTATTCTGATAACGAATGCATAGCCTCTGGCCCAAATTCCCTTTAATGGAAACATATATTAAAAATGCATATTTAAATAACATCTCCGGAATTCCCCTTTTTTGTGACAAAAATATGGAAGGCATTTTATGCAACGACTGCGTTTCTGATAAAATTATTGCATTAAAATATGCATTTCAATTGTATACACAACATTATATCCACAATGAACAGCATCAATTTGGATGGTCACTGTTGACACTGTTGAACGTTGAGTACGTATTGGGAACGTTCGTTATGTCCGTCTTCTCCGAGCCAGCGTCATCCATCTCGACATCCGTTTCCTCTGGCGAAGACTGGGGGACCAAACTGGCGAAGATTCCGCCCATGATCTGCGGGATCTTGACCACTGTCTCGCACAGTAGTAACAAGGAACCCACTCCGACCAAAAGGTAGCCTGTGAGGTGAGAAACAAAGGAAGAGTCAACATTTTTAAGATGTATTTTTGTGTTGGGGAGATGTTAATTATATATAACGGGTTTGCCCTTACCCAACGCATATTAATAAGCACTGTATGCTCAGTGCTTGTCCGAGAGCTTGCAAAAAAAACTCACAAGCTTACTCGGGTGGGACTCGAACCCACGACCTCCTGCTTACTAGTGCAGATGTCTTAACCACTCGACCACCGAGCTCGCCGGGGTCGGCTGGCCGATCCGAGTCAAATAAAGTAGCGGGTACCGCGAACTATTTTCAAGATGTATTTTTGCGTTGGGGAGATGTTAATTGTATATAACGGGTTTGCCCTTACCCAACGTATATTAATAAGCACTGAAGAGCCAACAGTTCCCATCTATAGTCCATGGAATTGGGAAACGGGAAACCAACACTTGAGGTGAGCGCCAAGATAAGTGGGGCATTGGTTTTTTTTTTCAAATTTTTGCCTCTAGAATGGTTTAATAATCGGTCGAGAGCAAACGAAGAACTGGACAAAAAGAAAACGTGCCCATTTTATAAATAAATAAAACTGATGAAGAAAAATCTAAAAGAAAATAGGGTTTGCAAGCCGGGTGAAACCCCTAAATCTACTTGGAGAATGTGCCAGCATTAATGAAAATTTCAAAACCACGAAAGGTTGGTAAAGCTTATTGCCGGTTAAAAACCTCCACCACCTTCATCATTCCATAAGGTGTCACCTCGTCAATGTCTGAAAGTTTTAGAAAAAAAGGGCGAATAAAATTAGAAAAAGGAATACTTATACTGCACATTGCTTGTTTTCTTTGAAATACACAGCGTTTATGTCCAGTACGTACGTCGAATAGCCGTTTGACCACTCCAGCTCGCGCATGCACACACTGTTAAGTTGCAGACACTTTTTTCAGGCCCTTTCGAAATTCCAGGTGCAAAAACAATTTCACATTTCCACCATATCAATCGTTAATAAGAATTCTAAAATACAAAACACACAAACTATATTTTATAGGGTTTTGACAGAAAAGCAACATTATAATTATGTGCCTGAACCGGACATGAAAAATTAAAAGCCTTGAACTTCGTCGTACTCTGATTTTTACGCCAATTTTCCCCAAATAAATACGTTTTCCCTCCAACACTAATGGCTAACTCCCATTTGGCATTTTTAAAGGTTTGGTTGAACTTCAACATAGGGACGGGGCAAATATCGAATCTACATATTGAAAATCACTCCATAACCCTTTGACTATTCAGTGCTTGGGTACGCTCGCAAAGAATAATGTAGTTAAAAACAAACAGTTAAAAACGCATGCTTATTTACTTTGCTCGGCAAACAGCAAAAATAGCGGCTGGCGCGTGACCTTGAATGCACCAATAAGAGATCGGCGATCCGTCATTAATAGGCCTACGTATAAGTTACGGTAATTTTTTTCTGGTAGTAAAAAACATTCCCTTTGGAACCCACCTCGTAGACACGTACAGTGCGGCAAGCAGTCTTTACGGAACCAGTCTATTGTTGAAGCCCTTGCAGCCACTGCAGTAACGACACATTAAAGGGTGACGCAACCATGGGCAAGTTCGGGCACGAACTTGCTTGTTCACGCGGATCTGGATCTCGGTCAGTGACCCTAACGCTGGTCCGCACTATCCATAAGGCAAGTTTTGGTGTTCGTAAACCAATGAATAAAGGCTAACTGCGATTCTCGCAGCGCGCATGGTAACTGATATCTCGCACGGTTATTTCCATATGAATGGTTCCCTCTGTAATGATAAAGTAAATCGGCTATTGATAACCAGCGGTGCAAACCCCTGGGCCTGATCCCAGATGGTCGATTCGATAGTTCAAACCATCCATCGTTCGGTCGGTGTTACTCGCTAGTCGCCCAGCGCCCGAACAGAGCGCTGGGAAGGGCTGATTGCCTTGAACAGATTTTTATCGAAGGAAATACGTCACACGGAGTCACATCTAAAGACGCGAAGAGCATTGTGGGTAGACTTAACGCTCAATACGTTATACCAGCGGCGGTTATCAATTCGATTTTTCTTTTTCTTCCTCACTGCTGCACATTTTCTCACTGAATTGGTTCATCCAAATTGATCAAGACAACCAATGATTTGATACATAGGCCTATAGCCCAAAGACACGTGATCACTTAGTGAGAAGATAAATTAGCACACTGTGACTGTACCATGGCCATGTTTTTATCATATAGCCGACACTTAACAAAGTATTACCCTTGTTGAACCAAACATTTAAATAACAACGCTTCGCTAACCGGAATTTGATAACCTCCAGTCCCAGGTCGTGCACAATGTAGCAAATCACAGTGCAAAACCAATCCTTCCTTCCTAGCGCCCTGTTCGTGCGCTGGGTAAGGAAATAATTGGTTTTAGTCCAACAATAGCAAACTTTGTATAGGAAAACTGCGGAGCACTGATGATCGGTAATGCAAGGCAAAGTAAGAAAAAACAGTACTCACCGGTTTGCTCAAACCAACCGGTGAGCATTACCGGCGAGCAATGTTTTTTCTTATTGAGCAAACCGGTGAGCACTGTTTTTGTTCAACTGAGCAAACCGGTGAGCACTGTTTTTGTTTAACTGAGCAAACCGCTGGGCATTGTTTTTGTTTAACTGAGCAAACCGGTGAGCACTGTTTTTGTTTAACTGAGCAAACCGGCCGGTGAGCACTGTCTTTTCTTACGTTTCCATTACATTAATTGTAAACTATAATCGTCGCTCGAACTGGCCCCTTGTTCCCACGCTAGACTGGTTCCCATCCCCTTCGTAGTCTCCAGACGCCTCACAGACGTCTTCCGAACGTAGGGACCGGTAGCGGGTAATGAAACCGAAGGAATCCTGTCGGTTTAATGTTAATGAGGAAACGAAGCTCGCCCAATGTACAAATCAAGCAGGAGCCTTTTTGAGGATTAACAAGGATAGTAGTTTTGTATTAATCACTTTACTGCTGAAATGAAGATTCATGTTACCGCATTGCTGTTGGCCTGACAAAATGTAAATATTGAGCATCTAAATTGACACGGCTAATCCTAGTGGCCTACGTTAAACTGCAACTAGCTACCAGTCCGTATAATAGGGACGGAGACAAGTCCAGTTGCCATACATGACACACGGAACTAGTTGCTCTACATGCAGCTGTGAAACAACAATTGCGTCTACGACGAGCCCGACACTAGATTTCCATCATTTTATGGGTTGAATATTTATGAGGTGTAGTAAAACGATACAGCACGATTTATTCAACCGCTTCGCCTCGGAAGGTACTTAAGCTAACCTGCAACTCGGGACAAGTAATTTTCACTACGTCCCCTCAAACCATGCTGTATTTGTAATTTTGTATATTAATCTCACAATACCAAGAGTTAATCGCGCAAGAAGCGGTGTGAACCAACATGGCGCGGCAATTATGGGAACGAGGTTGGGCTGTACCATTGACGTCCGTTATGGAGATCAATGGGTTGTACATACCTACTGATCTCCATTACGGTGATTGTACCACACTCACTGGTACGTTCTTTACCGCAGGAGGCGCGTAAATATTGGCGAGTCGTCACATCCCATTGGCCGAAGAGGAAATTGAAACGCGCGTATCGCGCGAACAAACGTGATGCCACAAAAAATGGCTAATGCTGATGGTTGCCGGGTCGGTCCGACTCTGTACCATCCATCCCATTGTCTCGGTGTTGTCTGCCTTGAAACTCAGTTTGTAACGGACTTGGCTGTCAGTCTTGGTATGGAGCACTGACAGGGAAAAGAATGGGGAAAACCACCCAAAGTTGACATAGCGCATATAAGAAACAGATGCAATATTTGTGTAGGGCCTACATGTTTATAAACAACAGTGGGTCAGAAATGTGTGGTCGTACGTTGAAATAGCCGTTGGTGTAAGATGTAACAAATACTGACTGCAATATCTGCACAGGACTAATTACTGCATACATCTTCTGAAGTAGGCCTAATGGCTGTCGCAGATGTTGAGTCGTGTGCGTGTCATGATGTGTGTGCTCTACCGTCTCGACACGGTTCACGGTTGTTGGAAAATAATGGTTAGACTCTTGGCGATAATAAAATAACACATGCTCTTGCTTTGCCTCGAAAAATGAAATTCGAAACTTACTCTGTCACTGCGTGAATACTTATTTATTTACCGACAGAAAATTGACATTCTTTCATATCACATTTTGGCTCACTATTTACTTTAGAAAGGTGAATTCAATGAATTCAGTAGCTGTTTATGATTATTTTTATAAGAAGACGGATTAACATTCCCACTAATAGATTTTATTACAAAAAGATCTCCTCAGTATTTTTTTATCTTAGAAGAAAACGAATTACGGAAGGATAAGTAACGTCAAAATCTTAAACTGTGTGTGTTTTTATTCTCGGCAAATTATGTATGCAATGGTTTACGATTATCTGCATCGCGTTGCACTCAATATGAAAGTAAATTTTTCGATTTTGATGTTACCGACAGGGCATAATTATCATAATAACCTACCAGCAGATATTCCAACGGAAATCATTTTCGGCGTTTTAATCATAAAATCGTAAGATGTCAGCTTATAAATAAAGAAGGGAATACGGCCTGCCGCAAAAATGCTACGTGCAATAATTTCTCCTTTAATTTCATTTTCTGGAACAAAAGCATATATGAGATCAAAATTGGGAAAGAGTTCACATTTTAAAATATTTACCTTTTACGTCTCTATTATTGAAATATTTTCATATTCCCCCTTTAAATATATGATTTAAGCCATCACAACAACAAATTAAGGTTTGCTGCTGTTTTTTGGTGCTGCCTTGCAATGTGACGGCGGAATTCATAATCGTTGAAAATGCAACTTTTGCTATAGCACAACTACGTTCACCGAAATGCAGCATTTCGATGAACAAACTTGTCTGGATATCACCACTCCTTGTTCTTTGTGACGACGGCATGTCAGTTCCGGCGTTCTACTTTTCTACTTTTTGTTATTCGTTTAAACAGGTTTTTCTAAAGGCAAGGAAGCTGCTGGTGCCATTTACGAAGAACTGGTGTTTGAACACATCCTTAAAGGGATCACATAACAGAAATATATTACTAAAGTCCGTGAAACTGCACCGTTGTGTTTCAGTTAACTTTGTTATCAATTTTTGATTTGGTTTTTTTATCTGTATCTTTTGGGTTTCATGCTAATATGAATTTGAAAATTCGTGAGAAAAACTGTGATAACCCGAGGCACTGAATCAATGTTGCATTGATCTGCGAACAAAAATTGCTCGATATCTCATACTTCACTATCGAAGATGTTCATTTCCTTTGGTTATATTTTGCTTTATAATTGAATGGCAATAAGCCCGCGCGCAACCTTTTCTCAGAAATGTTTCCAAAGAACCAATTTTCGGTTCAAAATTTCAACATGAAAAGATGAAGACTGGACACTGTCTTGCTGGATTTATATCACAATAACAGTGCCCTCTGGAAAACCTTGGTCAATTTTGAATGTTAAAAAAATCCACTTACATTTGACTTAACTCCAAAAAGATTTCTGACAGTTTTATACATTAAAAAAGAGCTTAACATGTACAAGGAGCGATTCTAATAAGAAAGAATGCGCTCTTCCTTTAAATGATAACATATGAGCAATGGCCTATGACCTTTTTGGACAGGTATTCCTCTAATAATCATTGTAAATGGTGATCTTTCACCATTTTCCCCCATTACAACTGAAATTTTACAACCTTTGGGTATCAGTCTCATATCTCTTTCAAAACCCCTCTCGTAATTACCGACAAACATTTCAAACATTTATAGCAATCAACTCAACATTACCATTTCCGATTAATATTTCGATTTGAAGTTACAAGGTGTGATGTGAACAACTTTGTGAAAAAAAAGTGAAACGGGTGCACTGTGATTCGGTTTAACCAAAACCATGACCCCTCTGCACACACTTCAATGCAGCTTGCGTTTTCTGCTTGTCTGTTAACGCCTTGTTTGGAGTCCCGTTGATTTAGTCGATGGGGTAATTATAAGGATGAGGGATTTGTCAGAACTACAAACTTATTATTAGCCTGAACTTACCCGCAACAATAAAAAGCATTATAAATTTTCATTACAAGATAGGACGCAGGCTAAGTCTGCGCCTACATTTGCTCAAAATTGCATTATGCCACAGGTACAACACACGAATGGCCAACGCAGTCAAGTATACTTAAGACGCCCCTTGTAATAGTAAATTTTGTGCAAATTGTTATTCAGTTAAAAAACTCATTAGTTGGCAAAAATAAAAAGTAAATGCTAAATGATGAAGACGCATCCGAACGAGTTGGATTTAATGGGAGTCGTTATTTTTTAATACGTGAATTGCAAGGGAAATAAGTTGCATGTCTTCCGTGAATCAAACAACGATTTTCAAGCACATAAAAGTATGGTTTGATTAGGTTGGGCAATACGACGGGGTTGCAACGCTGTTTCTTGCAAGACCTAATTTGTAACAGGTCAATTTCATTGGACGTTAATTGTGACACTGCAGCGTGTCATCGAAGGGCTAAAATAAACGTAACGTATCGACGAAGAGCAACTTTTCGTGACGTCACTGAGGTGTGAACATAGTGGATCGTGTTGATGACGTGAAGGATGTGATAGCTGTATAGCACAGTGTGGCGTCATCAGTAGCTTATGGTCTGGAGCGGCCTCGGGTGATAGCATTGATGTAGTCCTGAACCAAAAAGTCAGATCGACTTTCACTATTGTACGCGTCTACGTTGTTGAACGTAGTTTTAAAGGGCCACGGTGGGGAAAGATATTGTCAGGCAATTAACTTTTGTTGAGGGGAAAACAGAACTTGTTGTGAAGTAGTTGTCATTTCCACACATTTTCCATTCTAAGATGAATCTCAGGTATGAAAATGGCTTTAAAAAGAGCCGTTCAACTCTTAAACATTGCGCATGCATTACACCCCAAAACATATCCCTCTTTAAATTGCGTTTACTGTCAAATGGTGCCATCGTTTTGTGTGAAAGGCTAATCTTGATTTGATTTTGTCGTAATTACGTAACAGAAACTGATCCCTCCAAACACTGTTGCAGAAGAGAAACATTAATTAACATATTTTTATGACTCTGAGTACGAGTGCATATTTATGCAGCTGTAGTTCTCGCAGGCGAGTAGTATTACTCTTTCATAATCAAGAGATCGGGTTTATTTACAAGCGTATCAAAGGTGTTCCTGTTCAACTCTTTCACAATGGACTAACCTGTCACGCAGAGATGGTACAGGCTCCGGTGGTCTTCATACACGCTGTTGTGCGGGTCGCTTCCAGGCACGTAGTCTCCCAGACCAATTGTGGAGATGGAGATGAAGACGAAATACAGGCTCTCCAGATAGTTCCAGGTGTTCTCCAGAGCATCAAATATGGCAGCCGGGATCAGGAAGAAAAAAGTGAAGACGATGGCCGCAATTATCGTCAGATGGAGTATGTGGATGCCAAGGTTGCTGAATTTGTCCTCTGTGAGACATATATGGCAGGGGAGAAACTTAACTTTAGAGGAAGACAGACACGGGCTTGTATGGCTTGTACATTTTGTAGGGTATTATTTAGGGATCAGCAACGTACATGTAGGTGACTGACATGCTTGGAAGGAAGTTAGGACTGACTGATTAATGATACTCTGGCTTCCACCTCACAAGCTAGACAACGACAGGTGTGATACCTCTACCAAAGCTGGCCCCAACACACAGCATGGATTAGACCGAACTATAACACACAAACACATAGCGCAATTCCTGACGTGGCAGATATCTAAAACTATTATATGAACCGTTTAAGAAATATGAGCGAACAAGTGCAGACCATGAAGCGAGGTGAAAGAGCTATTCGCTCTTTACAAGGAGTGGCCATCTTGGAACAAAAGTGAGGCTGAACTGGCAAAACAACGACTTTTGTGTTGATACAATGTGGGTTGTTCAGTTGTTACATGTACACAATAGCTCACTCAAGTTAAAACACGCTTGCCTGTAAAGCCTTTCTTTCAGCCCAACCGTACAAAGGGTCTAAACACCGAGAGACTAGCCAAGTTTAAGCCATCAGAACAGAAATGCCGTAGCATGTACTTTGCGGGCGCGGCCGGCCACGTGACCTTACCTGTTGGCGATGAAACACTACGTTTGCTTTCTTTCTTTCCTGGACCAATTGTAGGACAAATAAAAGCATTTCAACCATTTTAAATCTCGTCATCTTGTCAGTGAGAACCATTGGTGTATGTGGACACACCGGAAATGTCAAGATGTAGCATGAAAGGGGCGTGCATATTTTTGCGCAGTTTTGATGCAGATCCAAAGTATTTTAGGCAAATGTTTTCATAGAACTGTGAGTTGGTGAAACCACAATCTGGTTTTCGTTGAGTTCACTCAAGCTTGTCTTCTTGCATTGTCTTCTACAGCTTCATGTACTGTATCTTTGTTGAAAAGTCATTCTGAGAGGTTTCCTGGTATCATGTAACAGACTTTGGGAGTGCTTCTTTTAATGATCTGCAAAACCTTTCCGTTTCTCATTTCAGAACCGTTTCAGTTTTCACTTCCACAGAAAACATAATGCAAAATGCCTGAATGTCATTCATCCGTTTAACACCTCCTTGCCTGTGTAGAGCTTGAGCAATATCTGATAAGCCATATGCACTTACGAGATTTGAGCTTTAGATTCATCAGGCTGTATAAGGTATTGTTTCTTTGTCGCACTTTTCACACAGTTACTATAAAGGAGACTAACAACGTCATGCTCATGAAGTATGCAATGAAACTGTCTAAGATTTATAGCTCCAAGTGGCGTAAACATTGCCTCTTATTCTGTCGTACTGTGACTGTAGGCCTATAGTATACTTCGATGGGGAAAGAATACTCGGATGCTAAGAGGCAGCTTCCAGCCACTCGTACAGCTTATCGTTTTAACTCGCAAAGAGAGGAATGAAATGGGTTTGTAACAAAGAAACTTATCCCGGACAGAAAAGCCTGTATAAAATCGCTGTGTCAAACTAGACAGTCCATTTACTCACGTTGTTTTCTGATTAAGCATTCCAGAAGCCGCTGTGAGGGTCTGTTGCATAGAGACACCATCATGCCCAGAAATAGAAACGTGAAGGGTATGCCCACCAGTGAGTACACAATACTGAAAGCTTTGGCGCCTTCTGAGAGGGGAGTCATGTGACCATAACCTGGGACAACGAATAGAGAGAGTAGAAAAATAAACGGTACCATGGAGCTGTAAAAAAAGAGGGGGCATGAGCGCAAGTGTTGATTAAATTTCACGCTTATTACAGGATTTTGAGATAAGGGGTTTTAGGAATTGAGCCTTTTTGACTCAGTATATCTCCTTCCCCTCTTTATTCTTGGCTATCTGGAAATCAATGTCAACGTGAAAAGTTATCGTTGCTTTATGTATGTGATAAGCGAAACGACATGATATTTAACGTGCAGGTCTTTATGTTTTTAAGAACGTAATTCCTTATAGCTACACCATAATTTTTTTCTGGCATAGAATAATCGAGATTTGAGATGCCAATTCAATACAATAAAATAAGTTTTAGAAACATATTAGGAAGATGATTTTATAGGCTGTAAAGTTTAAATACAAAGCATAATTATTACGAAGAAAATGCTGACACCATTTTAACGAGGCACCGAAAGAGTCGATGCAAAGTGCAGGCACGTCCCTCACATATTAAATTGCCTTTCTTATCTATCTACATTTGATTAAAACTTGAGCATGCATGGTATTTCGCACTGGCAGAGTTTCATAGGGTTGCCTTGCGTAACACATTTACGACATCAAGCACGAACTGATAAGCTTAAAGCACAACTGGGACTTGACTGGTTTGTGAATCTGTAACCGATGATTATACACGTATACTAATGAAATATTTAAACTAAACCAGACAATCTTAACTCTTGATCGAAATTAGTATTTTGGGAGTCCAGAATCTAGGAGAAACGATACATTAGCCTCAAAATCAGCAATATTACATTTTCCACGAAAGGAAACTGAAAAACTTGAAACTTCTGCCATTATTACTTTATAATTTATCAATTTTCATTTCAGGATATTTAGCAGCGGTCATGCCAAATTGCCAGCTTTATTGGACTGTCTGTGCAAAGCTATGCGTCAAGTTAGGAAATAAACAAGCTTTGTACATCATCAAGAAAACAAAACACCGCACAGACATTCATATTAGGAAAGTATAATTAAAATTGTCTAAACTGTTTAATTAAGGCCTTCATTCGACCTTCACAAAGACATTTGAATTTAAAAGTCATGCGTTTGTAGTCTTAGAAAGATACCGACTATGCCTCTATGACCCCAAAGTAATTATCGAACGGGTGCATGAACCCACGATAAATTTTCACGGTAATTCCTGACATAAGAATAATAAATGCATCTGTTGATATCAAATTCGACGGTAAGGCCGCTTGAAATTGTAGCAGTTCCAGTGTTCCAGATGGGCCCCTTTCTCGAGTTCAGCAAGGATATCAAATATACAACGTATGGATTCAAACTTGAAAAACTTTAAGTTGTGTTGTGAGGATACTTGAGGTTTTTATTATGAAAACGCCAGATCTTACAGTTTTTACACAAAAATGCACATTCACGACTGACGTTGCTGAAAGCAAAACATTTTCGGGGGAGCGGCTTGGCACTCATCCATCAACAATGGAAGGGGGTCAGTTCTGACATACTTTCAAGCAAATTTTCTTTTCTCTTTTCCGTTTTCCCCATTTTCCAGAGGCAAGAGCCCCTAGCCCCCCCCCCATAATGTCCATGTGCATATTCCTACATACCAATGTCATCCCCCAAAAGTCTATTCCTTACGGTAACTCAGCTGAAGAATGGACCCGACTTCAGTACATGTATCCAGCAAGAAATAAGACCGAAAGGTAACCCCCCCAACATGTCCAATCGCTATACACACTCTATAGACTATTGTTATATAACACATCCCCGAGATGTCTAAAAAGAATTCCTCAGATTCCAGTGAAACAATGACCAACACAAAGCAGGGGGAGGGTTCTCTCTGTCTCATATCTTGCTTTATATGTGAGCACCGGTGAGTGGATCGTCCGCGGGATCCGAAGTATTCCAAAAAGAGGTGGCCCTTTTCATGACTGATCAAAAATAGTTGCTGGAGCTTTCACATTCATAACATTCAAAATGGCCGACGCCTTTCCGGTTCAGAATGACTACAAATAACATTCTCCCATGACGTACACAGGTTCTTTTGCGCATAAAATCCGTCATGTGAATGTTGTGGTCAACTGCAGTTGACAAAAGTTAATAGGTATCTTAAGAAAAAAGGAAAAAAGATCCAGCATCAATCAGGAGGCCGTTAAGGACGATCAACTTATTATACTATTACCTGGCCTATGAAAATTGATTTTTTTTTTGTCTATCCAAATGTCCACGTCTGTCTACGGCGGTAAAAACCCACTGGCCTGCACGCGTACACCACGATATAATAATAATATTTACGGTGTTGTGCTTGGATATTGGTGATTTGGTCTTCCTGGATTTACAAAACCTTGCATCGATTTCGATCTGACACTGTGTTAATTGTATCACGCTGGCTCGTCGAGTAGCGCTTTGTGGAAAAAAGTGAGACTTAAACGTAACAGCTGACAAACGATTGTACAGTCTGAAGACTTCCTTCTCATATGCTTACGAAATCAGGTTATTCAGAAATTGTCGATACAAATGGAGAAATATTCAATGTTGATGCACTTTATGTAGTAGGCCAATACTTAAAATAACAAGTTTCAGACAAACATTACAGATGTAGGCCTACATGTTACACAAGTATAATAGGAGATGGCATGTATGCAGCTGGTACTCGGTGAGAGTTCCTTTAACATGGCACAGAACCATTAATAAAACGTTATGTACAACCCCTCTAGTAATATGCATAACGAAATGGGGGAAAAAAGGAATAAAAACTTTATGGCTACACGTCGGTGCCGCCATGTACATAGACCTATATACAAATTTTTCACGAGGTTGGATTACGTTTTATAATATTTCGTGTGGTGCAGATTTGTGGGGTGTGAGGGGTCGCTCAAACTATTTATTTATTTGTACTTTAATTTTTATTATTTATTTGTAACGTTGAATGGCATTCCTCTGGTTCTTCTCAAAGTTTCAGAACATTTTCAAGTTCAATGATATCTTTTAAAAAGAGCTGGTGTTGCAGGTTTGTACTGGTACCAGCATGACTGGTACATTGTTGAAAAATTACAGTGTCCTACACGAGCGTTTCTGTAAAATGTATCATTGGATAACAGCAAATCTGTGCAATAAATATCAATGACGGATCAAGAACCAAATTTTCAGGGGAGCCAGATGTGTTTTTTTTGGGGGGGGAGCAAACATTTTGGGAATTTTTTCTTTTTTTATGTAGGCCTAACCGGTTATAGCCTTTCTGAAGGCACCAGCTACATTTTGGGGATTTCTTCACACGTTTTGAACGAAAAGAAATAAGATAATTAAAAAAATTCGCCTCCACCATATTATTTCAAAAGTTATTAACAAACAGTTCCTTTCTTAATTGCTTTGTGGGAAGCATGGCCCCGCCCCCTGGATCCGCCCTCGACAGAAAAGCTTGTGACTCCATGGTGTTGCGTTGTGTATTACAACGGAAACCGCAATCAAGTTTGTAAGTGCATGAATTAACATTAATTTACATATCGACCCAAGTACACAAAACTAGCTTCTGTGAAGCTGGTTTCAACATTTTTCTAGTGTTTTACGTTTATGTGATAGCGTCATTGCTTTCACGGATAAACTGTTTTTTGAAGCCATTCAATTTGTCAAAAGAAAAGAATTGTCCCCCCCCCCCAAAAAAAACCCCGAAAACAATTGGAGTAAAGAAATATAGTATGCCTAATTAGGAGTAAACATCTTCTAATCGTTTTGAAACCAATTTTGTGAAAATCGGGCTTGCCGATCTCACAGTCACACAAAGCGCATTTTCCGAGACGGGTCAGCCAAAAATCCAATCTCCATTGACATGCTCAATGCACACAAGCCAACATGCGCGAAATTTAACTTCAAATGAAGGTAACATCAAAACTATAATGCCATATTGAATTTAAACTTCACGTTTTTACTGAACAGTGTGAGTGCCTTTACAAGCATGCAAAGTTTCAAAACAATCAGGCACGTAACAGTGGAGTTTTTCCCAGGAGGCTCAATCCTCCCCTGGAACCTCACATCAGCCCTCAAACCCCTGCTCTTGTAGGGTTACTCTCTAAATGAAAAAGAGTGAAAAACTCACTCTCAAAAAGAGTGTGTCCCTTATAAAATCAATCCAACAGAGTGAAAAACCACTCCAAAAAAGAGTGAAAACTAGGTCTACTCCAAAAGAGAGAACTTTCCGCTTCTCCAAGGAGCTGTACAAAGGACAACGAAAAGAGTTGTCCTTTTAGAGTCATCTTCCCTCGTTGAGTCTTAGAGTGGTTTTCACTCTGTTCAGAGTATTTATTAGAATTGGAATGGTGTTATGATGAGTCACCCCTTTTGAGAGTGAGTTTTTCACTCGTTACATTTAGAGGGTAAGATTAGTCGGAGAACCATGATCACTACCAGAGAGGAAACACGTTACATTGAGCCTTGTACGAAAAATTAATAATGCTCTATTTTGTCGTGGGTTCAAGTCCCAGTAAGCTGGTACTTTCAATTCCTATAAAAATGTGCAGCATGTCTCTGGGAAGGGGCACAAAACGCACATGCCTCTCCAATCGCGGCGCCGGCATGCCACTGCTTGTTGCCAAAATGCATAGTGTACTGTTAGAGCACAACTACATTTACTACTAACCGATAGTTGTTATTAAAGTAACACTGTAGAAGACTGCTGATGCAAAGTCCCAGACTCTGTAGGATGAGCCATCCTCCTCCAAGCGAATCCCCTTACTACCCACAGCCAGAACCTCCTCCATGAAAGCATACAGGTCGGAGAAGTTCACGCAGGGGTTCTCCCTCACGAAGGCATCAGACAAACCCTGTAGTTTGGCTACATAGTTACTCTCCACCGACTGCTCGAAGGCTAAAAATACCCCGGCGCCAAGGCACAGGTACAATATGTATGCAATGGTCAGCACAAGAAACCTGAAGTAACTGTTCTCTGTCAGCGCTGACATTATTTTTGTCAAAGCTGGGGAAATTCTTACGAAGCTGGAGATATCCACGGACAGTCAATCAATCATGTACATATAAGTTGTCAGCTTCAAATGCAGTGACCATACTGCAAAGCTCGCACTAACGTTGTGTGTCGTGAACGCCCGCATATCACGATTGCCGCTCCTGCACGTAGTTTCCTGGCATCCGTGGAGTAGTTATTGTTATCGGTCAGGTCGCTGCATTGAGGACTACATGTGGCCCTAGGCCCTAACCTACCCGTTAATGACTATCAGGTAATATAGCCCCTGAATACAACCGCTTTTTTTTGTTGATCGATAGAATGTACAACTTCACATGATCTGACGACAGTGAAACTTCTCGCTAGTTTAGGTGTGAATGCGTTCTTGCAAACATGTAGCGGCCTCTCGTACTCAATAAAACCTTATCCTCCATGTTACAACGGCACCGTCACAAATGAACGCTTCAATATGGTAATAAAAACGTAGTCTGACAACCTTCATGCGATCAACTCATGCGTGAGTGGCTCCTCCCATTCTTTGTTTCAGTGGAACTGGTCTGATTAGTGGTACCAGTAGCCTATAAAAAGTAGCCGTTTCTGGTTGTAGCAGGTGAGTGCGGTGATTTCAGTGGTGCACACTCAGGCCCGAGGGAGTTTTTAGCGGCGTAGCAGACTGACAGGAACAATGGAAGAGATCAGTAGCCTATTCGGACTTTTTGTGACGAAAATATAGTGTTATCCATTTGAGTAATTCCATAAATTTTGGGTCCGACGTGTGAGTTTTTTCTGTCCCTGTTACCCTGACCTGTGTCATGGGATCCGATTGGCATAAATTTGTGCCTGAAATTGGGGGATGGGGAACGGTGGGGGGGGGGCTTGCCCAGCCATGAAAAGTTGAAAAGTCGGGGGGGATTTATCATTAAATATGTTTTATATTGCCCTCATTCAATACAATGTTCACGCGCGCATTACAATGAATGTTACATGATTAAGAAAAATATGAAAATCTCCTAGAAATTGTAGTAAAATAAGCAAAGAAGTATTGCACAACTACCTAAAATGAATATGACAAAACACGAACCAATATCAATAATTTAGAACTACCAGCCTCATCAGGATAAATGATGATAAATACAAAGTATCGTCAGCGTAACAGTGGATCTGTGGGTGGTGAAGTTTGACAATGTCGCACAGCTGACTGGTATAAGAATAAACATACAGAATGACACCATACGACTTAATTGTAAGGGGCTGATGCTCATGATATTGATGTACATCTGTAATATGTATTCATAATGGCACATTTATGGCCTTTTAAAAATTGCTTTACTTTTATTTTTGGAGTGATAATGAACGCATTTTTAGTCTTTGGAAGTCTGAAAAATTCTTCACAATCCACTTTAATTTTTGCTCACCACAAAAAGGGGGGGGGTTCGATAGACCCACCCCTCACCTCAGAATGTGGGTGTGGGTGTGTGTTGGGGGGATAACCCCCATCTCCCATGGATTTACGCCCATGCATGGGATATATCATTGAAACTGACTTCAAAGTATTTTCATTCGTTTGGCAGGTAAGTTGCATCTCTCAATCACTCGTGGAAATAAAAGAATGTGTTCTAAACTTATAAAAAAATCATACGCCAGATGTAACAGAGACTGCAAAAAGGATTGTCAGTGTTGAGAATGACCAATATCTTCCTCATTCCTCTGTTTGCCGGGGCCCGGTACCCACACAGACGTCCATTGAGAACATCACCTTCACTTGAAATGAGGGGAGGGGCCTGGCGCACATTTATGATAGAAATATACACTTACTCAGTGATTCTCATCAAGTGAATGAATTTCATGTAGCCTATCGATGCAATTCTCAACTTCCGTAGCCAGCTCAGGCTGCCGCTCATGCAAAATACCTTGAAAGAATGTTATCACAACAGGATTATTCTCGGTTTTGAAACAAATTTAGCATACAGGTCACATATTTGACGCCCTTTGAGATTATTTTAAACAAACTTCTCGAGTTCGCATAATTGTTAAACGCTGTGCTGGGGGAGGGAGCTTTGGCTGAGAGCCAGCAGGTCAGTGCCACTGCAGTAGTGGGATACTGCGCGTAAGTACATGTACAACACCTGGTTGTAGGTGGTGGTGTACTTACGCGAGGTAGCTTCAAGATCAAACAACAGAGGGCGTTACGTGCATGTAGTTACGATTCAAGAGTACCCGTACATGAATCGCATGGATAGCTAGCTGTAGGCCTACATACACAGTACAGAGATGCGATGTAGGCCTAGATGCGATAACAGGTGTCGAAAACTTGGTAAGTTTGGCACGTTTAAGATCTGCATTCTCGGTTTCGGTTTAAAACCAGGATAATCAGTGTTCCTCATCTTTCATGTCTTTAGCACTCAGTTCTTATAAATAGGGGAACAAAATTTAGGCCTACTTTTATAAAACAATCACCAGGGCTAAAGAGTAACTTAGTAAGAGCATTCCTCCATAGTAAGAGTGAGACTTAAGTTGGCATAAGCCTTACTGTGGTCCTTTTTCCTGCCCACAATTGCCTTTCTAGGCCTACTACTGTGCAAAATCACCCATGCAGTATTTGCAATAAGGCTTATGAAGTTATGGACATAGTTGGCAGGTAGTCCAACTCCGAGTAACTTGGACCCTACAATTTGCCTTTTTAAACATTTTTTTTAACATTGTTGGGTGATGGTACTTAGTAGTATCAGTGAGTATAGGGTCCAAGTACCTTCCATAGGCTTTTGCTTCCATTAATTCATTTTACTCAAAATAGCTCCTACCCCAAATCTAATCCTCCAAATTCATATCCAAACTGGTCCTTAAACTGTCCAATGCACCCGGCTTAGGATCAAGTGAGAACTGGAGATTCCAATAATGCTGAGGTTTACTCACATTTGGGAAGAAAAGAGAAATTTCCCCTTCAAATGGGAAACGGTCTTGTGGTTGAGCGCGATGTCACCATCTTGTTCAAATAGCGATTTGAACGGTATGTGAATGTCCTTAAGATAACATCAAGGTGTTCCAGCCTTTAATTTAGCGGACTATTCACAAGCATATTGTGTTGGCACACACATGCTGACAACTGATTCCTGAGGGCCGCAATTTCCGGTGTACAGTTTCAATGTGATTACAGGTACCCAACATGCTTTTTGGGGGAGCGGGCAGATGTCCGACCCCACAGTCCTGAGAGTAACTGTTGGCATAACTCAGCTGTTAACAAGGTAGTTTGTTAAGGCAACTCGACTGTGCAAGGCAAGAACATGATAGTGTGCATGGCAGTTACATGTAACACAAATCCTAAATCGATGTCTTTTTGCAGATTTGTGTGAGACGCGTTACATCGCAACTCAACCTGCCAGGCTTAACATGCGCAGGGACTCAAAGACGTGCACACACAGCATACACTGTGGCACGGCGCACCATCTGCTATTCTTGGACACAAAAAATTTTAAGAAAAAATTACCTATCCATTGGGCAATTTGTCCTTACAATTTTAACTTGCCCGAACTGAAAGAGGAAATTTGTCCGGGACAATCGGAAAACAGCGAATGTTGAGGCTTGTCATGGACAATGTTTTCCCTCCTGCCATTATTCTCTGGTCATTTACTGCACTTTAACAGCTGCACATTGTGAATTAGAATGGATCCTTAGGCACCACAGAGAAATCATCATTTTTGGTCTTTCATTTTGTACTCTCTTAGAGGGGAGGAGGGAAAAAAAAGTGTACGCTTTGTACGCTTGTGAAAATGATGACAATAATGGATGACCTCTTAGTTGACAGAATAAGAGTCATCTTCATGCACCTACATACAGGTGTTTTCCCTTTCCATGAGGTCTCAGTACACTCAGTTGCGAATCTTTGGACCATTGTCACAGAAACTATTCTTTTGATAAATGGTTTTGTTGTGTGTTGAGTCTTGATCTTTTTATGATTGTATTGGAAAAATTGCACACAGTTAACTTGTTAAATAGATGCGGAGTTGTGTCTCAGTCAATTAGTGGCAGCGCTGTGCCAAATATTCGTATATTTGATCAATTCTTGAACATTTGAATATTATTTCCCAAATTTGAATATTCAAATGCAGACTTCATGAAAAGGAAGGGAGACTTTTCTTTTGAATTAAATGAGAAAAATTGCACTATGGAGGCTTGCTTCTAGCAGATTCAAACGAAAAGTGACAGAAATCTAACAACGATTCAAAAAGTAAATTATTCATTACAAATTTGAAAAAGAATAGAGATCTTCAAGTGGGCAAGAACCATTGTTCATCTGTTAAATCTTGCTAAATTGTGGCAGGAGATACTCCCAGATGTGAGAAGCTGTTGTAGTGATTATAATGTACAATTGTCTGCATTATTGCATCTGATTTTGTATATGGATTATTCATCAATAATCTGCCCATCAGTACCACCAAATATTCAGATATTCAATCGAATTGAAGGTCGAATATTCAAACAGTGAATTATTCAAATTTACTCAGCCCTGATCAGTGGCCTGTTTTAATTTGGAATGCATTATTATTATAAAAAATACTGTGTTGGCAAAGTGGTGCGTGGGTGAAGTGACATGTGGGCAAAGTGACAACTGGTGAAGTGGCTAATGGCAAAGTGGTTGTGGGCGAAGTGGTAAGTGGGCGGAGCAACTGACATCAGATGCAGTACAGTGCGTCAGGGGAAAAAGTCTGATGCACTTGGCCAAACAAACTGGCCATGTTGAGACAATGGAAGCCCCATTTAACAATGCCACTGTTAGATCTTGTGGTGACTGGCAACCACAGATTCCCACCTTATGGAGAATTGACCAGTTGGATCTTGTTACACTGGGCAGGCAAGTCACTTTGACAAATGATGCAGACTGATGTGTCTGGCAGGGTGTCTAGCCAAAGTGTGCTGGAGGGTTTAGGCTAGTGCTTTTGCAAGATTTATTTCAATCATTGACTGATTTTTATTTGTGATGTACACAAATACTTTAAAGTAAACAATGCAATTAAGGGAATGAGTTAACCCTAAAATTCCCCAATCCTCCGATTTCAGCATGATTTTTACATACACCCCAGGGGGTTGGGTAAAACAACAAGCCGACATAAAGTGTAAATAAAAGCTGTTTTTAAGCTTCCTGATTCGAGATGAAACTCTAATTTAAAGTTAATAAAAAAGGGGAGGCCTATGGGTTTATACAAAATGTACCCACAAAGTTGTGATAACAGGCTGTGCACACCTTGTCACATTTGTAAAGATCGGGTAAAAGGCGAAAGGGGAAATTTTGATCAATGTCTGAGATATCGTGTTGTCAAAACCAGATTTATAGTATTAGTAACACCAACATATTAACTGCGGATGGCATCAAACGTTATTGTTTGGTACACTGTAATATGTGTTCGTACCGCGGTGAACTGCTGCGTGTGCGAAGTCAAACTGTGGACAAGTCAGTTTTGCTTGTCAACTTACATGTACATGTGTAATGGGCAATTCTTGACAGTGAGCAATTTTCAATTGACAATAAATCAAATATACTTGGACAGTGTCATACAATATCTTTAAGTCAAAACCCAATTCTGGAAAATTTTAACTCTGTGAAAAGGTGGTTGAAATGACGTCATGAAATTATTACTCATAACTTTGAATAGTGTACATGTATATTATGGGCTGAATTCTGGAAGTTGTCTTGTTTGATGTCTCAAACAAAAAATTATAACACTTCATGTACGTTTTGATAGAGAAATAAGAAAAACAGGCTGCAGTTTGAGATTAAATTATGGATTTTAAAAACACACATAACTCAAACTAAACACAAACATGATATTAAAGGACTGATGAATTTTGCTAGGTTTGATATTAAACAATTAGCCATGGGCAGGTGGGTTAGGGGATGAGTTGGCTGGGGGTGAGTCTGCCAGGGAGAGATTTAGGCTAGGAGGCAAGTTTGTAAGGGGTGAGTCGGCAAGTTGACAAGGGGGCGAGTTGGTGGGGAAGTTGTTAGGGCAAATCGGCCGGGGGCAAGTTGACCTGACACCACTTGTCAAAAATTCAGCAAGTTTTGTTCACTGTGAAAAGAGGGCAGGGATTTGAGTTTTGAGGGGAACTAAAGGGTAAAACGGCAACATGGACAGAGACGAATTTGCGAATGTAATCTGGTTCCTTAACCTGGATGAAGATTTTTGACGAATCTTCATGAATTGTATAGTACTTGTAGCTGTAGAGTCCCCAAGTAAACCTGGTACATTTTGGCTTTCACTTGGCTTTCCTCATACATATGTACAGTGTTTAAACACGGTACCTGTTGTTGAAATACTTCAAATTCTTTTGTTTGAATTTTGGTACAACTACAGTACTATAACCTTCATAACACATGCTGTTGAACAAGTCAGTGTCATGAACATGATGAAATTTCATCCGAAATTCCAAAACGGCAGTGTTTTTTACTGTGGTACGCTTTAATAATCTCAGAATATCCCAAATAACTATTTCTGAAGAAGAAGAAGATCTGAAAATTGAGCGAAAATAAAACCTTATCTTTGTTATAGCAGGTGGGTAATATCAAGATTCTTGGATCAGAATATAAGGAGTTCAATGAAATTTAACTTCAGATAAAATTTGCGGCAAAAATATTGCTGCAGCAACGCACTAGAGGCAAATAAGCAGAATGTGCCATGTTGAGGGCCATGCCTTGATAAGGTCCATCAGCAATATTCACAATGTTCGGGTCTGGTAATCAGACTGGCGGTGAAGTGCCTCCATCTTCAGGTGATTTGAAACAAAATAGTATGACCCGACTAAATGGTTGTTGTTCTCCAAATGTGGGTAAGAAATTGTAGTTTTTTAATATCTCTAGTTTAAGAACAAGTGAATTTCTACAACATTTAAAAATATTGTTGAAATTTACCAAAACTAGAGCTGTTAGGATTAAGGATGAATGAACGCTCAAGGTCAACATGTCAGGAATTTGTAAAAGTGGGCTTTATTTCCTTATCATGGGAACAGGCCACCATGCATAGTAGCCACCTTCTGATTCTTAGTTAGGGCTAGTCTATCTAACGTTATTCTACATGTAAGTACATGTAACTAGGACATCATGGATTGCCTCTTTTAACATGTGGATATGGTCGGCGGTAATAGGGTCCTAGAACCGTCCATAGTCCTTGTGCACTATTCATTGATTTCACTTGAAAGAACTCATACCTGAAATCGAAATCCTCAGATTTTACCCTCAGTCCTGAAACTGTCTAATATGCCTACTGTAGGATTCAGTCGGAATTGGAGATTCCAATTCTGTAGTCCTGCTGAACTTTCCACATTGAACTTTCCACATGTATATATTGCTTCTTGCTTTTTTTTATTAAAACGTGGTTGGTTTTACGTAAATGCACAGTTCACCTCATGCATGACCACTTGTAGAACATGTGGTTGCCCTGTGAATGAGTGTTTTGTCAGCTTGCAGTGCATTTGTATATTGAACAAGTCAATACCCTTCCACAGTTGCAGTGCTGTAACCATACACTTTACATAGTCTTTGATCAATGTGTCAAGGTCAGGCAATGGTCATTACAGGTTGGCTGCCACAAGTGTGCACATCTTCGGGTATTTATCATGTTTAACACTCAGAAAAGGCTGATTTTCAAAATTTCAAAATAAAATAAACTGGAGGTTTTTTCTCTTAGGAAACAATTTTCAACTTTTCATTCTCTTGTAGATTGGGTGAAAGCCATGACATCGTCATCGAGGTCTGTATTTGGCCGGCCAAAGGATGCCATCGGGTCACTATGCCAACTCATGAACCTCAGTGGCATCACTGGGCTCAACCCAGAAATCTTCAGGCAAGCTAAGTTCAATAAGCCTGAGGCGGTAAGAGCTTCTGTAGTATATATGTATAATGATATTCTTGACTGCTGTACCCAGCCCTTACTCTGCACCACTTTGAGAGCAATTTTGATTCACTGGGGTCAGCAGTAAAGTCTACATTGCTAATTAACCACTTGCTAACAGTATTATTCCACTTTGCCCTGATCCCTGGTATGGCAGCTGAATATAATGAACTTTTAAAACAAGATGTAACTAAATGCCTTTGCCAAGTTGGGCCTAACGGAGGCTGACCATTGGTAGTCATTTGTTCAAGATTTGTTTGAAGTTTCTTACAGTTACTGCATCGTCTTTTTTTTTCAAAACTTTTGAGACTGTTGAAGCAATATTTGCTACAACACCCAGCCATGACCCACAGCGACTTGAGGGTCACACACATGTCCATCTTCGTATACTGACTTCTGTATCTGAAAACTCACTCAATCACTCAAGCATGAGGACAGATGTAGAAGTCTGTGCATAGAGAACCTTCAAGTGGAGGATACTGCTGCCCCAGTAGTACCACAAAAGCTAAAACTCTACTTCCAAGCTTGGTCCTCTCACCCTACAGGAAGCAACCTTCCTAGAAAGCCTCAGGTGCAGCTGAACTGGTTGTGATCAGGGGTTGGCTGCTTCGCAGCAAACGTGAAAAGCTGGGGCCTAGCAGACTCTGATCTTTGTGCATGCAGTGAAGTTCAGACATGGAAACATGTTCTGACAGGGTGTGACATGATGGGACCTCCTTGCCCACTCACTGAAATGGACAATCCCCGACTGGTGACTTGCCCTTCTAACTCTCAATTCTGAATGCTGTAGACGACACACAAAATAAAGAATGTAGACATCATGTAGAACTACGTACAGAATTCATGGAAAGGTGTTAAAACATCCTGTGCATTTCAGCTCGCGGAATCCATGTATGTTCTGGACGTTGTCCAGCTTGAAGTGGGTAACGTGTGTGTCCAGAAACTTGTTCTTTTTTCCCCCCTTGTGATGTCTCAAGTAGCCCATGTGTCTCTGTAAGCTGTCTTCTTGGGAGCTAGATTGGTTTGAAAGTTGAGTTCCTTCATTGCTACTGTCAGTCTCGGAGCTTAAGATTGTGGAAACGTACGAGACTGTACAAGACAACCAGCCCAGGATCTGTTCAGTGCTGTATCAGTCAACTGTGTCAAAAGGCATCAGCCTATTCGAATATGGCAGGGACAACGAGGGAACCTTTTTTTGTGGGGGGGATGTTGACTCCTAAATTTACCCACGTCTTACAGCACCCTCTTATTATGTCTGCGATACTTCAAGGAGGCTAATAGTCATGCCACCAGAACACTGCATGGTCACTCTTTACAAAACGTTTGATGTGTACCAGTCTATTCTATATGAAATCACTTGGCTTCAATTTCACATGCAAATTGTTGAAGAAAACATCTTCATAAATCAATCTGGGACTGCTAACTTGCCTGGTTATACTTTCTGTTTACAGAAATCATACCCAGGTCATCATAATCCTGTATTGGGTTCCAGCTTGCAAAATCTGAATATACGTAGCCGCCTCATTTTTAGCTAAACACTTTTATGTGGATGTGGTAATTTGTTTTCACAAGTTGCTAAATTTATTTCTACATGTATTTACCATTTGTAAACAATTGCAACTGACTGACGTGGTTGAACCATTTGGAAAATGTTTTCATTTATTTTCTCCATTTCATAAAAAGCTTAAAATTAAAAACAAGGTCAGCATAAAATTTGGAAATTTGGTTTTAGTATGTGAAACCACACAAGAAAATCTGATCAGAACTGTGTAAGGATTTACCAACATTTGACATTGATATTGTTCTCAATCTCAGGTGGCTCCCTTGTGGTCCCTTCTTTCCTCCTTGATAAGTTATTCAAACTGCAAATGCATAGGGTCCGGTGCATGCACATCGCATCAGGCCACTTCGAGCGATGTCGTCTCCTCAACAAAGCATGCCATGTGGTCTGAGGGCTATCGCTGCCACCGATTTCACCGCCTCCCCAATGACATGAGCCACGGCAGCCGGGAACTGCTCCTGGCCTTGGGCTGGCTCTTGGCCAAGACAGATGTACTGAGGGACCTGGCGATAGAAGACAGCACGCACATGGTGGACACCGGGCATTTGCACGCAGAAGAGGTCTTGCAGTTGAGGAAACAGAGGGAGGAGGAAATGAAGAAAATCAGGGGTTCTGTAGATGATGCAAGAGGCACAAGTTGCAGTGGGAACTACTTGGCCTGGTTAGTTGGCCAGTACAGAATGAAAATCCGGAGACTCTATCTGCAGCAACAGGAGCTTTGCAATCTAACTCACCAGGTTGGAGGTTCTATCTCTTAAACCCCCCCCCCCAAAAAAAACTTTTTTTGCTTTCACTCTGAGACTGGAGAAGATCAGAATTCCTTATTTGCAGCATTTGGAAAGCTCGCTTTGTAAAAGTCGTGCTGCAGTTATAAACACCTGGTTGAGAATACTGTGTGGCTTTCCAGCAAAAGAAGTGGTAGCCACTTAACATGTATTTAATGCTGCGCAAAAAAGAAGGTTTCAGAAGTACTTCAGCCCCAATCGTCATCAGTTGTTGGCTCTAAAAGAAGACTCCTCATGATCCAAAGACTTTTGTTGTTAAATGAATACATTTGCTTCATAGATTCATGCTGCAACACAAGGAATAAGCGCAACCACAGACACCCCACATCTGTCTCCATTAGAAGTCTTCATTCTCAGGCATGCTGAGTATTCCAAGAAGGTCAGTTCTGATTGCATCTCTGGGCTGCTCGTCATGTGTCTGGCAAAGGATGCAGAGCAGAAAAGAAAGCAATTTCTCAATGCATTACTTTTTCACAACTTGTTGGAGCATTGGTCAGTTTTGATAAGTTGAACTTCAAAATAATACGTATACCTGTCTGTAATGAACTGAAGAATCGTAGGCTACTGTTATGAAGCATTTAGTTGCTCTGATGTCGACGAATCATTGGATGTGGTTGACCTACATGTACCCTTTTCAAATCTCTAAGCAGAAGCCTCTTTTATGTTCGCACACCACTCGTGCATATATTCTTGAACGTGACTGATGCATGTGCATTTATAGTCATAATACCATATTGGCCGAAGTGGCATTTAGCTTGTGTGTCCCATCTGTGACTGAGGGAGATATGATAGTAGTAATGGCTTCTAATTTGACATCCTGAATGGTGCACATATGAGTCTAATTTCATAATCATCCCACATCAAGAATGGCCCCAGTAATGGGAAAGGCATTACACAAGCTCATGTATGAAGTAACTGGCCCTTGATTGTTTTTTGTACAAGATCGGGTATAGCATCTCTGCCCTTTAGTAGTGGTCTTCTTGAATGTAAAGTGAGCTCATGTCCAAATTCCTTTCCAAGTCATAATTCAGTAAAGTATGTTGATCTTGTAGTTGTGTGCTGTTCTTTTACAGTACCAAGAGATCCTAGAAACCCAGCAGGCCAGACTTCGCATCAGCTTGAAGTGGCAAAACCAGGAAGCTACATTCTGGCGGTGGATGGTGAGTTGTTCATTTCCTCCAATTAGCGAGTCTGTAAATTGGTTTCATAAGATTTGGTAATTTCATATTGAGTCTGTTAATTTTCTTAAGACCTGAAATCCAGTTAAATCTTTTTCTGTTTCTCTCTGTGTATGGTCTTTGAAAATGATGCTCTACTGAGCAACTGTTTTTGTGAAATTTAACTTAAAATACATCCAAGATTATTTGGGAGAGATTCCCCAGTATGCAGATCAGATTGCACAATATAAGTTTACTGCATTCATGCTGCACTGTGAATATGGATCTAATTCCGCAACATGAAAGTTTCTAGTCATAAAGGTACATACATGTATAAGTACTGTAACCAAGACCCTTCTGCAGTGGCTTAGGACTAGGAGTGACTTGAGTTGATCTGAAAGAATAAAATTTGAAGTCAAAATTTACTCGTAGTGAGATGTCAAAGCTGTAACAGAGTGTGTCTCATTTAGTTGTGACAAAAGTAAATGTAGTGAGATGTTCTTGACTCAAAAAGCAAATATTTTGTTTTTAAAATGTATACCTGTTCCCATTGGCTGTTAGGTGGGTGTTCAGGTAATTATTGTAAAGCACCCCTATACCATGCTCTGCTGTACCGAACAATAAGGGCATTTCACTGTAGTGCGCCTCCAAGAGTTTGCAATGCATTTGCCAATCTCAGTGCGCGAAATCTGTCGGCCCAATTCACGGATGTTGGGAAAGGGTCGACAGATTTCGCGCTTTGTGATTGGCCAATGTGTTGCAAACTCTTGGAGGCGCACTATTGTGAATTGCCCATATTAGTTATGCCAAATATGTCCCAGCTCCTGAATTTTTCTGGGCACCAAGCATTGAACATGTTGAATATTTACTTTAAATAAAAGAAAAGTACATGTATTCAGGATTGATGATAATTACTTTGAAATTAAGAAAAAGCTGAATCTCGAAGGAACAACGGTCAGCGATGTGGTGTATACATGTATCAGTCATGGATGCATGTTCATGCTTGCTTGCATGGGCAGCCATGAAGACTGGCCACTGAATATGCGCTTGCATCATGGGCAACTCTGATGGGCAGATTCTGCTAATAACAAAGACAAGGATTTTTACCATAGAAAATCACCCAAATTAGAAAATGCATACGCAGATGAACAGATTAGCTTTTGGGACTTTTGTAAAAGCTTTGTTAACTATTTTGCTAGTTGCAGTCATTTTCAACAACGTTATGTTTGCTGATGTCTAATGCTAACTGCAATCATGTACCATTGTGGCTCCAGTGCTATAGAACTGTTCTCATCCCTATTACAATTCAAATTTAGCAGTGAGAACCAGTGTAATTGAAGTACATGTCACATGCAATTTTCAAGAGAGGACTCAGGGTAAACTTCATTTTATTCGTCTTCCATTGAGAATTACCCCAAAAGGTGAAACATGGAGGGAAATGAATATATACGCTGAAGAAAATGCATGAATCTTGGTGTTATTTATTGTTAACTTGATTTTTTTCCATTTGAAGTGTTCCGTTTGAAGCAGACACATTCATGAGGCAGACTGCCACTCATTTGATTGGGCCAGTAGGAATTGGAAATTGTACCCAATGGCGGCGGAACGATTTTCAAAGGGGTGAGGGGCAGTTGAGAGACCATCAGGCATCAGCCATTAAAGCCCTCCTGTGCTGAAGTCACTCTTTGGGTCAGTTGGTAAACAGCACAAAGAAGCACAGCTGTGTCATGTCATGCACTGCACCAACTGTCCCTCACAGGAAAATCAAATTGCACTTTTGTGCTGTCCAACAACCGTGCCTCACTGTTTCATGTGCATAACTGTGCAGTAAACGAAACGCAGACCCTGTGTCAGTTTGTGCTGGCAACCTACTGTGTACACACTAAACCTGTGCATGTTTGTGTTCCATATAGAAAACACATGCAAGAGAGTGACTGTGGGCACTCGTGCATATTTATGCTGTTAAACCACTGGAGGGCTAATACATCGATCCATTAAGCCACACCCCATGATAGGACCTGCAAAGAGTGAGGGGTCAGGCCCCCCCAGTCGAGAAAGTGGCTGCCCCCTCCCCTTCACCACCTATGGCCATACCTAACAACCGCTGTAGAGCACCAAAGTGAATATGTCATTTGCATAAATATGTATGTAAAAAGGCATTAGCATGGGACCGATACGCGTGCATACTCCAGTCATTTGCACCACCCTTCCTAGTTCAAAATATCACACTTTGGTACTCTGTAGTGAAGAATTGTGTGGACTCCGTCATCTTCATTGTAGTGACTTTGTACTGTGTTTTATTGAAACAACTGCCGAGACCAAACTTTCTTACAGGCAAATCGCCTTTGGAAATACAGTGTGTAGTAACTTCAAATCTACAGTCCTTGAAGACCCGAAATAAATTTTTATATTTCAGTTTTCAAAGTGTGGAGAATTTGTGCACAACTTTATTGTGAATGGCAGCAGGGAGATTTGAAAAGGAATATTTTTTATATAGCTACACAATCCCCAAATACACGATTTACATGTTTTGACACAGGAGAGCGTCTTAGATGCAAGGATGCAAGATTCCCTGGATGAGGCAGAAATGCCTAGTGAATGCCACACTCCTTGTTCAGCACACAGTGTCAGTGATCTAGCAGATCTTGTCATGAAGTTAGATGGATACACCCAGCGTCTTGAACGGCTTGCAGGAGACTCTGACTACAATGAAGAGGTGAAATTTTGTAAGGTATTCGGGATGTTGACATCCTTCAGGAATGCCAGTCTCCTGGCAAAAGCCTCATTTCAGGCTTCCATTTAAAATGTTGGGCTAATTTCCAGGTTTCAATAAGGAATATTGAGGCTTCTGCAGCCTTCTTTTCAGGCTCTGTACAAGAGCTTGCCTGGCGTCCCTGATCATTTAAAAGGGTTGGAATTGAAAGTAGCATTGGCAAAGGAAAATTGGTTAAATTTAATGGGGACATTTTCTTAGATGACTGTAGTTGGTCCATATGTGGCCAATTTAATTCGACAGCCTGTAACAATAGTCAAATTTTAGCCTGCTGATTTGCATAATATTCATTGGGCTAAATGAGCATAGTGTAGCATTAGATATGCAGATTTACATAAAGTAAATCCACTTTAGGACATTCACATGCTTAATTTTAGATCAGGCTTATTTTAATCTGGTACAAATTCTTTTGTTGGTTCTGTTTTGTTTTTTTTCATCGAAAAATTTGCTTTTGAAATTGTCACTTTTTGTTAAAGTGGTTTCAATCCTAAAAAATGCAGAGGAAGCAGGAAAATCTTATTACAAGAGGGACTTTGTAAGATGTTGCCCGAAATGGTTAGAGATTTGTAAGGACCTGGAAACACAAAGTCAGCACTTTTAACGAAAAGTGCTTTCCAGTGGGCCCAACATTCAGATACTGACCACGGTTGTTGAGGGTGATGTAAACGTTTTGTCACATCGTCGCAGTCAATTATTTGGGCTGTTTCTTTCAATGTCTAGGAAGATGAAACGTGGCTGAGAACAGTTGAGGAAATCAGGGCCAAACTTGTTCCCATCTCCGCATCTCCTACTTGTCATCTATCGATACTCGATTATCAGATGCCAAGGTTTCATCTCATCAAAAAACAGTCCAAGACGTCGGGAGCACAGACTGCCCGCGTTAAACCCTCCAGTGCAGTTCACATTCAGGATGAGATTGCGAGACTGTCAGAGGTTGTTGACGGACTCAAAGAGGAGTTGGCATCACTAAGGAGCAGCCACCATGCCAGATTAGATGAGTTAGCATCAGTGCTCCCGGATTCTATCTGCATACCCCCAATGGGCCCTGCAAGGCAATGATGCAAATGGAGGATAGACAGACTTGGAGAAGAAGATTCATGTTATGATTAACCTTTTGTGCCCATGTGTAGTTCCTAACTACCTCTGTTTATCTACCCACGGAGCATTAACTGCTCTCCCACCAGTCACATAATCAATTCAGGGAAATTTACAAAGTCTTTCTTTGTAGTGCATGCCTGCAGCCACACACAGCAAGACAAATTTATCATTTTTGACACTCGAATTTACATGACCCAGACAGTACAATTCCTGCAGTGCCCACTGCTGTACTGTATTCAAACTAGGTTATTGAGGTGGTGCGTTCCAGTCCTGCCCGATCAAGTGCGTGATTTATTTTTCCTCAAACTCTCATAAAGCATGGAGCATACAGTGCTTAGTGAGTAATACTGGCAATGGTAATGGTTTAATTCTTCTTGTAAACAAGGTTTCATGCTTGCCTGTTGAATGTGGAGAACAAAGATTAAAACATGGCCTAGTGTGTAAATTTGGCCTTTGAAATGCAGCACTTATTGAGGTGGACATGTCCCATGAATTTTGAAAAATTTATGTTTTTTTTTAGATTATAAGCCAATACTTGAAAAATGTTTCGTAGGCTTTTTGCAACAAAATGGATTCGGTGCCTTTGTTGCACTACAATTTAAAAATGCTTCTTTGCCTCACTTAGAAAGTAATTTAGTACAAAATATACCACTGGCAGATCCAGGAATTTTTCCAATGGGGAGGTTAGGTTTAGATTTTTATTTTTATGTCTCATTTTTGCCAAAAAGTCTATATTGTTTACAGTAGCGCTGTTGCACTTACTTGACTTATGTTTCTTATTAATTTCTTCATTTTTTACCCTTTTGGGGGGCTTCAGAGCAGGGGGATTCCACCCCCAGATCCGCCGCTGTATACAATACATTACATGCATTTTATTTGTAAAAATGGGGTTGAACTTGAAGACGGCGGCATGTGCCCCTTTTCATTCAGAATTTTCCAAAGCGGTTCATGGCCAAAAAGATCGGTCTAGAGGACTATTGTACAACTTTCTACCACTGCTTTGGTTTCCCTCCTCTCCTATCACATTTCGCTCAATTGTTTTTTCTTGTCAAAGCATTATCAGCCTCTAAACTGGAAAAATGGATGTGTATTTGTGATTGAGTGACGACAAACAGTGCCCTCACGCGACCAGTTTTTACGGTCAAAAAATCATTTCATTCAGCGCCCGCGCGGGAAAGAAGAAATCCCGGATGCCACGCAGGGGGATCGACACGTGTTAATGGTCATGAATACAATGGCCACCATTGAAAGACTACAGTTGAAAATTTTTGACTTTGTGAAGGATTCTGGCTATTGTTCCTGCGGAATTTAGACCTGTGGCTGTTACGTTTTTTACTGATGTGGTCATTCTTGGGCTGATACTACGTTTACATAGACGAGAGCCATGCGGGCTTGAAAACCTGGCCATAGATGTGGAGACCATAGACATTCTCCTCCAGGTCTGTGGTAGCCACTGCTTTTCTTGCGCTGGGAAGTTTCCCTCTGTTAATGCGTAGTGACTAGACGAAGGTTCCGTGTCGTGGATGTATTGCTGCGGATTTTGGATTTGGAAATTTCTCGTCGTTTAAGTCAGCCATGTTCAAAAGGACAAGGACAGGATTTTGGTTGATTCTGCTGATTGTGGCCGTAGTGGGGCACGTGTTGCCATGTCGTTGTGAAAACCTAGACGGGGGAACAGGCGATGGTGGTGTAGGGTGGTTTCTTCGGGCAATCTTCGGCTCGCAGGTAGGTTCAAGTTGACGTTCGCCAAGTAGGCCTAAGCACGCAATGCTCAACTTGCCGAAAGAGGCCTACCAGTTTCCTTGTTTATCAGCTGATGCAGTCGATATTTTCTCTAAGAACATGTACACGTAGGCCTGTCGGTAACTAAACCGACTCTGTACTTACCAGCTTACATGATAACTGCTGTATTAAGTAAAAGAGACGCAAAGATTTGTCGGCAGTCACCCTTTTAAAAGTATACAAATTTAGAAGTTTGTATCAGTCCACCGGTGCGGGGGGGGGCTGCGGCTGTCCCCCCCCACCTTAGAAAAGTAAGTTATTTTAGCCCCCTCAACACTTTATAGGCCTACCTTTAGGCCTATAGGCCATTGGGGAGGTATTCTTTTCAGTCTGCTGGCTGGGGATTCACCCCCCCCACACACACTTTTAAAACCGTTCCGTTGCTGTTGTCTCGGTCCCAGGTTCATTTCTGGTTCAAATGTGAACACCGAGCGAAGCAACTTAGTTGAAGTTAGCTACATGTACATTCATCGAATTTTCACAATGTTCCAATTATTTTTATGGTAATGCCTTCTTAGAAGGCTTTAAATTTGCATTCAAATGATAGGTCTCCCGCCTCCTTAAGGCTACTAGAACAGAAGTCATGATGAAATAGTTGTGCACCGAAATATTTGATATGCGTAACAGGTCAAATACTTGTGACCTTTAGAAGATATTGAGATGTTACAATTTCAAATATCTGTACCTGGTATACAGTGCGGAACTGGAATTTTTTGTGAAGGGGAGTGAACCAGAATTTCTCCCAACCATCGGGGGTTCTCAGTGCCCCTCCCCTCCTCGTAACGGGGGATTTGAATCGATAATAATGGCCAGGAAAATCAATAATAACCATGTTTCAGTTTTCTTCTTGAATGCAACTCGAGTCTAACATGTACCTCGGGTAAGTTAAAAAAAATAGAATCAAGGTACTGTACGTGTAATTGGGATTTCCGTGAACGTCGCTGTGTCATTTTGTGGGTTGACTAAATATTTTGGAAAAAATTTTTATGGCGAATGCAAAGTTTTTAAAGTCAATTGAGGTCTGTAGAGACCGCCAATCGCATTTTCATTCTTCGTACAAGCACCCCTTTGGTATTAATCAAGGTCAAAAGCGACGGTCACACAAAGATTCCAAAATAACATCAGGAATAGCGTTACCAATGTCTAGGGTCCGTGAATTTAGCTATTGAAGCTACATGTATCTAGCTATTGAAGTTCTAGAATCTTGTCAAGATGCACTAAGCTTTTGGAAAGGACCAGTGGAGGAATGATGAATTCAGACTAGGCAGGGTCATCTCACTAGAAGACTTAAAATGCTAATGTTTAGAGGATGTGGTGTCAAGTTCACATATTCCAACTAATTGGTTCATGTATTCAACTATGTGCACTTTAAAGTAGTTACTACAGTATGCGTTCATGGATATCTGTTTCTAAAAATGAATGTTGCATGACATTGTGCAATTTAGTCAAAAATAATATCAAATTTGTGCCCCCGGGCCACCTCTTACAGGCTGAACACCAGTTCCAATCATCTGCTGGTCATGGTCGATTGCGTAGAGGTACTTCCAAAGGTAAGCTCAGCATGCTGGTAATGATCCACCATACATTGTTAAGTTTGAACTGTCATTGTCATGTTTTGAATCTATAGATTACCCTACAAAATTGATTTTCATCTCTGGTTCTGTGATCAGTGATATGAGGTTTCCTCTGTTACTGTGTTGTAAGGTTTAAGTAAGTGTACTGATTAGCTGGTGGACTTGATGCTAATCAACATGTGTATACATCATATGCTGGCAGTGGGTATGCCCTGTATTGTCAACCCTGCTTGAGCTACGTGTAGTTACCATTATTAAGAGCATGGAGGAAGGACACAGAAGGAGTTTCAACTCTGGCACATCAAAGTGCTCGATCATCGCTGCCCGGTCAGACAAACAATAGTAAACATTCCAAAAATACCTGATTACTGCCTGCAGCTTAGCCGGACAAGTGGGGCCAGTAATATTGTAACAATATTTGAGGTGTTTTCTTTGTAAATAAGTACAATTTATTGCAGTCACCAGGAAACAGAAAGAAAAAATATCTAACATTAGATTTACTTTTGCCGTTTTGAATAATTTTTCAAAGATTTTGATGCCCTTTTCCATTATCCATGCATATGTTTGTAAGTTTATTTTGTCACTCCAAAACATCAGTTTTCAAAGTCTTTGTACGAGTTTGGCTAAGACTGGCCAACAACATGTTAAACACCACAGGACAGTTAAGTTCACGAAAAACAAAATGCGCCGTTTCATCACAGGGAGTGATCATGAGATCTCATAGAATACCTTTTTGTGTAAATTCCGTAATAAAAATAAAACTCAAACTCTTACAGACAGCGTGGCTCTTTATTCCCAAAAGAAATCCATAAGAAAGCATTCGATAAGGGCTATGACTGCACATGAACAGTTTGGGTACACAGCCTAGTAAAAGTAACTACGCAAGCGCTAAATTTGATTTTGTTGTCGGATCATATCAAGCACCATCGATGGCATGAATATTCAACTTAATATACCGCACTTCACAACGTTTTAGGAATGCAGATTACCAACGAAAAATTGCAGCGATGATCACGGGCAACAAAGGGGGCTTATGGTTGCAAAACAGGTGGTGAGTAGCAGGCATGCGCTGCGCTCTGGCCATGGATATACCAGGCATGCCAGAATTGGCCAGAAGAACTGATGTTATAGCCCGGGCAGTTCAAACTCCTGTGTCTTTCCTCCTTGGTAAGAGTAACCTAAGCTTAAGAACAGGCATACATGTACATGTAGCTTAAGCACTCAAAGCCTATTTCTGACATGGCTATTATGTTCTACATGCACATTGCTGCTGCCATAACTGCCAATTGAGTGACTCGGTTACCAAAATTGAATGGACAGACCAGGATAAGTTTTTATTCAATGGCTTCACGAAGAAAGAACATAGAACGTAGAGAAAATTTTTTTTTTATTATCGTTTTGGCTCTCTTTCTGGCATGAGAAGTTCTTTGTCTTGCACTGGATACAGGTGACAGCCTACCAAACCATAACGGCAAAACAAAAATAGATTAGATTGCTCTACAATCATGCATGAATCCAAGAAGTTGACGAAGTGTAACAGACTCAACCAATGCCACACTCAATTGGTCATGGTGTCATCTTTTCAGTGCAGGATAAACTTGGTGTAATAATTTTTTTACCAAATCTATGGAAAACAGCCAAATCACGATCTACCTGGGGCAAATTTCATTCCGCACTTTCCGCTTTCACAAAGAGGCGAATTTGTCTTCCATGGACATAGCGTTAGCAATGAAAGGTAAAACCATGGGTATACTCGTTTTGCCATTTTTACGAAGAGGCAGATTTAATGCCGGAAATGTATACAAATGTAACACGCTATAGCAAATAGCACTTGTTTTCACTAGTAAACAAAAGTCCCATCAATTTTAGCATTTTCACGAAGAGGCGGATTTGTTTGTTCACAAGAAGAACAATGTTAATTAACTTCCATGAATATCATTTCACAGTTTTGTGTCACACCCTCTTTCATGCAGTAGCTGTGGTTAAATCAAAGGCATGCTAAATACTGGGGAAAGAAGCATTTGAAAAAGCGACCAACTTCAAATGCAATTTTCTCAGAACCTTCAATGTAGGTTTTACTCTCTGGTGAGAAATTCGCCTCCTTGTGGAAATGGTGACTAAGTGTTGTCCAGTGATTCCTAACATGCCGAAAATTATGCTTTTGTGTCCCTTCAGGTTGCAGACAAACTATTCAAGCTGACTCAGGTTACATCCGCTCACCAGGATTCCCCTCCTCTTACAGGCCCAATCTCCTGTGTGAATGGACAATACAAGTACCAGCTCGTAAACAGGTACGTACGTTGCACTGGAAAATTTAATTCAGTGCATGGACGGAGTGTTTCATCACCTACATGGAGTAATTTGTTTACTGTTCTTTACTTGTATTCTAATGCTTTGACTTGAAATTTAGAAACTCTGACTCAAATCTCAAAGAATCGAGATTGAAACTCAAATTACATGTACTTGGGTAACAGACAGTATGTATCTTGTTCAGCTACCTTTAGTAAAAGTAGCATGTGCTCCAGAAATTACTTTCTGTAAATAAAGCATTTAGTGGGTTTCTCTTGTTGGTATGATCAGTTGATAGGACAATGTTTATTGGTGCTGTAATTTTTTTCATATGAAACTGAATTTGGCTGTTTTCAAAATCATAAATGCATTGCGAATATTATGTCATAATATTCTTTCACCATTCAGCCATGTTAAACCAATTTTACCTGCCTCTGTTAGGCACAACTGGGCAGTCACAGTACATGTGCAGTTCTCCTTTATGCCCAACATTAGCTGCCAAATGAACATAGCTTCTCGGGCTGTGACCACAATTTCCATCATTGACCAGGAGCTATTGGATCAAATGCCAGGCAGGCAGTCAGGAAGTGGTATCAAATTTGGGTTTACTCACAACTTTATATACGCAAGACAGGGTTCGGTTGTGCTAGGAAAAAGTGTAAAGTATTAATCGATTCAAGGAATTTTGGGAAAAAAGTGACATTTTGGAACAAATGGTCAGAACCAAATATAGTGGCTATGGCCACAAGTATATCTGGTAAAACAGTTGGCCCTTCAGTCCAGTGCTACAGCATGTGTCATGGAAGGCTCATATTGGCCTGTTCATGTAACTCCAGCACCCATTGCATTGTGAGTGGTGACACAAATTCCCAAGGATGCACAGAGAATTACTGAATTCCCTTAATTCCCTGAAATCGATAAGAATAACAATAGTTTAATTTTATTGTATCCTCTCCATGGCCAGCCTGTCAGAGAGTAATTTGTTAAAAAAATTGCATTCCACTCCTGCCCATATAGCTTACTGAGAAATTAATAGGATTGGCAGAAAAAGATATCTGTGAATTGTTTGCAACCCAGCTCTCCTAGTCCTAACTTGGTATGAATTAACCAAATAAAGTGTTTATGTACGTAGGCCCACACATTACTATTGGACAGTTGGTCAAGAATGCTGGTCTTGACAGACACCAGGGAGTTCGGGATAATTTTCATGTCTTTTGGATCATCTTATAAACGGCCTTTTGTAACAAAAAGTTGCTGCATTATTGCTGCCGCCTGTTGCCACTCCTCTCTTAAAGCTTGTCATATTCAATCATCTCAGGTATCCAATTATATTTGAGCTCTTCTCATGCACATGTGCAGCACTGTGGTGGGGTGTGCACATAAGTGCTGGTAGTTTACTTGGTATCTAAACTCCACATTGTTGGTTCCATTCCATGCTGGCTTGACATTGAAGCTGTGCTATAGATGGCAACTAGTTGCATTGCACACACGCTACTGTGTTTTTTCCTCCAGAAGGAAGTTTTTTTTCAGAGTTCACATTATGATTAACCCTTCTGAGTTAACATTTTACACATTTAGAGTGTGCCGCTTTGTTTCCTACTGGGTCACAGGGGCAGGAGTGCAGATTAGAAATGGAAGTCAAGTGGGGTTCACACAACTAGTGAAATGGCATTAAGGCCAACAGTACCCTTGGCCGGGGATCAGCTCCGTTTTCAGACTTTCAAACTGTGATGGGACTATACATGTATGTGCAGGCAGACCTTGTGATGCAACAGTGATAAACTTAAAAAGAAGTCATCACAATAAGATCAAATATTGCAGTAAGTTTCGCCTGATGACTTGATCTAAAACAAAAACTGGATATCAAACAATGTGGAGAGGGTTTGGTCAAGACTTCATGGGGTTTGAATTGTAAACGTTGTGGAGTTAACGTGCAGTGGGATGAGAACATTAGCAGTATGTATGTATGTAGGGGGATTGCTTTTTGTGTATGTATGTGCATTATGGTGGCACTCACATGTCCTGCCAAGCTCTAAAAATAACTGTGTACATGTATTTGGGCAGGCTGCCATGGGGTCACAAGGTCATTGCATGAAGTGACTTGTGAAGTGTACATTGTAAAACATTGTTATACTTTTTTGGCTGGTTGGGAGAGACGAGCGGGACATCGGTGGTGGAGGTGGATGCAATAAAAGGAAGGAAAGACAGCGGAAGGCCTAAAAGCTGCTGTGTAAAGAACCCTATTTATTTTCCTCACTGGAGCCTTTGCTGAAATCAGCTTATTGCTACATGTATGTACTTGAGAGTCCGCGGTGCTGCAAGGAAGCATGTTTTTGATGTAGCTTAGAATGTAAATGCCCCCCTGCAGGCCTCTATCTTGCAGAGCTGGGAAGCCTGTACATGTCTGTACTACCTCTTGTTGGCATCTGTCCTGCAAAGTGGGATGACAATAGTCTACCCTACTCTTGTATATATAGCAGACAGCAGTAGTGGCCTCCGTGTTTTGAATGAAGAGGTGCTGGGCTTTTACAGAACAGGGCACCCTACGTGGAGAACAGCCGGAGATATGAGACAGACATATTTTTCGTGATAATGTCTGTCTTAGAAGTTATTAAGCAGCACTCCAGAACAAAAGAAAGGGGATTAAAAAGGTTCTTCTCTTTAAAATTTGAAAAAAGGGGGGGGGCTCAGGTTACACCCAACTGGGTCTTCTAGTAGAGAGGTAAAGTTTGCTGTTTGATTTCGCTATTTACCATTGTGTACTCCTTGCTGTCCAACATCTCTGACTGTTACTGTTTACGATTTCAATTGGCCAGCCATTCTCTGAAGTATCTGTGCTGGACAAGTAGGTTGGAGGTCGTACGTATAGGTTCAGTTCCTATCGGAGCAAACTTAATCCCCACGAAGAGTTTTTCGTGATGTAACTTTTTGCTTTTTAATTTACATTACAAAATGGACTGCAAGTGGCCCTAGAAATCCAAATATCTGCCTCTTGTTTCTGTGCAATGACCTGTGCTTGCCAGTGTTATTGAAGTTGAACTAAACTTTCCAGTTACCACATTCCTGGTTGTTGACATGATGTCAGTTTATTCACTTGCTTTATGAAAAGGTTCAGATTTAATTTAACATATCCACTACTTAAAATTCTTGACCGTATTTTCTTTTTCCAGATTCTGATGCGCTTTATTCTCTTGGATGTTAGAGGCGGTGCCAGTGGGAAATGCACTGAACAAGAGGACTACCTGATGATCCGAGATGGTACCAAATCTGGGCGACATCTTGGAATTTTCTGCAGTCCATCCCCAAACTCCGGACAACCTTCACCTATCGTGTCAATCACCAGTAAGGTTTGGATCATCTTCCACAGCAATGAGAAACAGTCAGGAAAGGGCTTTCTGATTAGCTTCATTTCGGTTGAGTCGTTAAGTCACTTGGATTATGTTGCCAACCAGCTGACATTTGAACCACGTTCCGGATCCACTGAGCCAACTCCCACTGTAGACAAGCCAGAAAAGTCACTGTCCACAGAGTTTGTACCCATGCAAAGAAATGTAGATTTAACAACAATAGATCTGCCATTTGAATCCATTGCATTTGGAAATCCCAACAGGGGCCTTGTGCAGTATGTCACCCAAGATGGCTCAACAGTGGTCACTAAAACTTTTTCTCCTCCAGTTGTCACTGAATTGAGACAGCAGACTGTTGCAGATACATCTCGAGTGAGCCTCTTCACGACTCAGCAAAGAAATGGCTTTAGTCCATCATTTCCCTCAAAGCCCATTCTTGAACCACACAAGGAGCAGTCACAGTCCCAACCATTCTCTGACACCCAAATGAAGTCCATTACAGAGCAACCACTACAGACACCTACTGGTGATGCTTCGCAACCTAAAACCGGGGAGCAAACCAAATCTCCTGACCTGTCACCTTCAGTTACAGCAAGTCAGCTGACAAGATCTTTCATGATGGAACCTCACACAGCAGAACTGAGTACTGAATTGCCCCGTGTTACTCTAAAGGAATCATATGTTAGCACTGAGGTACCAGTGACTGCCTCTGAGCAGACTTCGAGAATGACCACCAAGCAGCCTCTTGTCACAACTAAAGAACAATTAGCATTGAGCTTTTATGGTGATGCAAGGTCTGTACCAACCACTGGACAACAGTTTACCTTGATTAAAGGTTCACCGACTACCAGCTACTGGAATAAGATAGATCATCACACCCTGACTGGAGCTGAAACTCTTCCATTTACAAAACGGCAGGACCAAACACAAATCAGAACAAAGCCCCTGACGGATCAACTCAATGCAGGGGAATTCCAAACACATTTTACAACTTTGTCTCCCATTTTCACGGCAAAGCCCATTGAAGCCTTCACTGCAACAGAGCAACTGAAATCGACGAACAGCCAACCATTAGTTCCTCCAACCCACTACCAGCAGCCACTGCAAACTTTTGGAAAACATACTACTGGTCAGCAGAATACTGGTGTGATGCCTGTGCTCACCCAGCCCCGGTCCATTACTCAGGGACAAAGTCACATTGAGCAAGAGAGTACCTCAGAATCTGTTACCCAACGCGATACCCAGCCTTCTACTGAAGGCCACACTACTCATCAGCAAGTCTCAAGTCCCCTTGAACTCTTCCCTTTTGGTCAAACTCCAAAAATAATTACTAATCGGGGAGCTATTCCTCAGCAAGAACTGCAGCCATCTACTCAAATCGCTAGTGCTGACCAGGAAGGCATTCTTTTGACCAAACTACAGCTTTTTACTCGAACACAAAAGCCAATGAGACAACTTACTCATCAGCAAACTGAAGCTGATTTCAAACCTCAGCTTTTAACACAAACCCCCCGACCAACAGAACAGAGCATGAGCACTCACCAGCAAGTTGGTACTGAACCTGAATACCAGTCTGTCACTCTTAGAGAACACAAAACACTTCTAACCCAGCTTCCTTTGAGAGCCTCAAACACCATGACACATACTAGAGGTGGGGGAGAAGCACAAACCATTAAGCCCTGGGACTTTGACACCAAGTTAGATAGGCCCTCTGGCGAATTACAATCACCAAATTATCCAGATGCTTACCCAATGGGTGTGCACTACCGCTGGAACATAACTGTCAGCCCACGTGGTGTCATTGTTCTCAATTTTACTGATTTTGACCTGGACTCGGCTCCAAATAACAATAGCTCATGTGACGAAAGATACGCTTATATTAAAGTTGAGGATGAAGGTGGCATTGAACATGTTTTTTGTGGTCACAAAATTCCTCCATTGGTAGTATCAACTTTAAATAAGCTGATTATTACATTTGTTAGTAGTTATGGATATGGCAAAGGGTTCCATGCACTTTACTTAATGCAAAAAACGAAGGACCGTGTTGCCCCTCCTGATGTCTCAACATCAGAGCATGTCTGTGGAGGTGGCTTTCATCAACCCAGTGGTAGGATTCAATCACCCAACTTTCCTGATGACTTTCAAACTGGTATTAGGTGCCACTGGAATATAACAGTTGATGTCGGACAAGTCATTATTATAAATTTTACTGCTTTTGACTTGGATTCTGTACCAGTGGACAAGTGGTGCAGTGAGAGATATGCACATGTGAAAATAGTAGATGGAATTGGAGGGAATAGTTGGACTTACTGCGGTCAGGAACTTCCACCCGTCTTTGTTTCTTCGAGTAATACAATAAGCATCACCTATGAGAGTGAGTTTGGCTACAGTGGAGGTTTCAGCGCTGTATACAGTGTCTCTCAGATGGACAGAGCATCAGCATCTACTCCCCCCAAAGCCCAAATACCACCCTTGCTAACAACCAGACCATTGTATGATTGTGGAGGATATAGGACTGCATCAAGAGGTGTCATTCAGTCACCTAACCTGCCTGAAGAACTTGAGTTGGGTGTCAACTGCAAGTGGATTATCACAGCCCCCGTTGGGCAACAT